ACCGTATATTAGTATATAATTAATTTTAATTTTCATCTTGCTTTATAAAAAGACCTCCTATTACAAGTACTATTTCTATTTAATATTTTAATTTAGTAAACTAATTCAAATTTGTTGAGTAAAGAGTAATTTAAACTCATCTAGCATGTGAATGGTATCATAAAAGTTCCTTCTATATGTAATCATGACTAATTAAGTTCCACAAAATATGAACAAAGAGAACTAAATACTACTATTAAATAGGTATATCATTTAATGCATGACTAAGACGTGACTAATTTAAGCCTTCCTGTTCTATACGATTAACAGAATATTAATGAAAAAAACTTCAAGCATGCTTCCTATTCAGCCCAAATTCGCGCCATTGGGTGCAAACGGTTATCGATAACATAGAGATGATAATAGGTCATTGATTTTGCTGTTGAACATAAATGAAAGAACTATCTAATGTACCTCACTCGTGGGCATGTTGTCGTTATGAAGAACTAAGGCTTTATATTAAACGGAAAAGTGTATCATTCAGAGGAAAAGGTAAGTTTAAAGCACAAATATATGAAATTCAAAAACATACGAGCACCAGCAAAATATTCGAGCCGCGTGTATGTCACTAAAGTACGCCCTGAGTATGAGGAATTGTTCGATTAAAGTGGATGAACCAAAGAAGAGGATAGCAATTTTTGACAAAGATGAATCAATCCGTCTAGACAGCAAGAGTGTTTTGTTTGAAGTGGAAAGCTCGGAAGAAGTTCTCGAGTGGGTAAAGTCGTTGACTCCAGCACCAGGCCTTCAAAATGGATCAGTGTTTTCGCCGGCAAGCCCCAAGCGTAAAAAACAAGCTACATAGAGAGTTGGGTGGATCTCTTTTTCTCTCGATGGTAATCTACCGGAACATGCGCTAAATTCATATCAATATATGATAAAAGACTAAAAATGTGTACATATTATTTGAACAATTGGAAAATTAAATGTTTCGGACACAGCCGTATTTATTCAAAATCGCTTGTTTATTCATATTTTTTTCTTTATTTTCAAAAGCGATAGATAATCAAGAACAGCATAAAAAACTTATAACATACCGTGAAGCAAAATGGTAAGAGAACCTTATAATGTTTCCTGTCGATTTCAAAGTTTCAGGCGGCAATAAACTGAAGATGTTTGTTTTATTAACAGAAACAAACTTATCAAAAGGACAATTTTAACATTATTACGACTTTGTCTATGCCTGATTTTCATCTGTTCAAACATTTCGAGCAGGAGATTCGTTAAAGGCGTAACTCGGTTTGGATGGGTGTCAAAAGTTTTATCCACAGACCACACATGTCTGTGCCATTTTCTGCTTGTAATATTACACTTCTCAGACAAGTTTGTTCATTTTTATAACTATTTTGTAATTTTGTTGTCTTCTTCCCAGAATTCTGAACGCTTTTATATTTGATATTGTATTGTGCGTATCATTCGGACTGTGTTGATATGGAGTGATTAAAATATCAAATATAATCTGAAATATGTGATATTGAACCTCGGAAATTGAAACTTGAACACATGCAGTAAAATGAACGGTAATTAGATGCGTTTTGAATACGGAAAGTATTGTATTATTCGATTTCTATCCCAAAAATGTATATTCTAAAACTTTTTTTTCTTTTTCTTAAATGCATTTAAAATTTCGGCTCATATTAAGATATGAGTCCATTTTATATTTACTTATTTCCTGTTTGAATATTACTGTTGTTTTCTTATTCTGATAACTTTAATCCATTAGTATGTTTCTGATGACGGTCACCCACACGTTTCCTTTGTTATCGTAAATGCTGTTCAAGTTTCCCTTATGTCTTGATCAATAAACATTTATTCTGAAAATTAACGTGTTTACTGGAACCAGAAATGGGAAGGTTTCCTACGTTTCTTATTCACTTGATCACACTAGAAGCACTTCTTGTATAAACGTTTTATTAGAACATCTTAAAATACAAAATTTTGAGCCGCGTCACGTCAAAACCAACAAAGTGCGTTTGCGACCAGCATAGCTCCAGACCAGCCTGGGCATCCGCGCAGTCTGATCAGGATCCATGCTGTTCGCTGTCAGTTTTACCACTTGTAATAGAGTTGGTAAGCGAACAGCATGGATCCTGATCAGACTGCGCGGATGCGCAGGCTGGTCTGGATTCATGCTGGTCGCAAACCCACTATATGTTGGTTTTGTCGTGACGCGGCTCAAATATACTTGTCATAATTTGATTATATTGATCTGAAATGATCCTTTTATGTACATGTATTTCGTTACTATGTTTTGAATGCTTGTATTATGTTCTGATTGTAAAATAAAGAGAGAGGGAGGCAGGGAAGAAGGAGAGAGAGAGGTTTTAGTTTGATTGGGTTAGAAACTATAAGCTTACAGACACACTCTGGAATCCATTCCTGGAACCAACCAAAACTGAGTAATGAGTGTAAATTAAGTTTCTTGCTCCAACGCGGATAGCGATCCTTAGTACGAGGTGTTATCTACTCGGCCATATCACAATCTAACTAATTCCTTTTAACTATCTGACTATGAATAGAAGAATTCTAGCTTTTTCGTTTGTGCTGTCTCATCAGTCACCTCAAAATGTGTGGTACGTTTACCAACAAATTAAAAAGCTTGATTGTTTGGTAAAAAGTATGTTTTGAAACACTTGAGCAAGAATCGAAAGGCTAGCAAAAGCTTGATAATTATACAAGTTGAGTGGTTTTCTTTATCGTCGGCATGTGGAATGACCTCTCTACATCACTTAAATTCCATAGTGAACTCTACCCCAAAATTAATGTTCGTATTGCGTTGATATACACTATTAGTTTATTGGTGGTAAAAACGTAGGCGGAGAATAAAAGAGCACTACATCTGATATTCTAGCTAATTCATGATTTGCGCTAAATGTGCTTATCTTTTAATGTGCATAATTAATGTATTCCTTCACAGCTTTTATTTTTCTTGTATCATTTAAAATCTATATTGTAACTTTAAAGTATACCCTTGCGTTTCTGTTGATCTCAAATAAAAATGTATGTATGAAACCAAGCGTTCCTTTCATTTTACCCTGTTCATTTTCATATAGTTCTTTGTACAGCTCCTGTCCCTATATACAAAACGTTGTTTTTATGGTGTTAGTAATTTGTGCTCCCCTGTTTTTGTGCCGAGTCATGACAAAACCAACATAATGGGTTTGCGACCATCATGGATCCAGACCAGCCTGCGCATCCGCGCAGTCTGATCATGATCCATGCTGTTCGCTATCAGTTTCTTTACTTGTTATAGGGTTGGTAAGCGAACAGCATGGATCCTGATCAGACTGCGCGGATGCGCAGGCTGGTCTGGATCCATGCTGGTCGCAAACCCATTATGTTGGTTTTGTCATGACACGGCTCATTTGTTGTCAGTGTGCTACCAATGCAACACTGTGCCCAATCTAAAATGTTATGTGGTGGTGGTGGTTTCGGTACTTTACAATCCGGATCACGGCCGAAAGTCACATTGAGTTTACCAGAGCACGGTTCAGCAACCCAGGCTGTCAAGTAGTTTACCAGTACTAGTTACCTTCACTTTCGAAAGGAACTAAAACTTCTGTATACTACATACCAGAGCAGAGGTACAGTGCGAATTACCCTAGAAAAGATTTCATGATCAATCAGAACGAAATTGACCTGTTACTGATTTATGAAAACCATCAATTGTTTTTATATACTTTTGTACTGTTGATTCGAGGGTTTAGAGCTGTATCTAATGAATTATTTTAATAACATTTAAAAATGATATAATTATGTTGTTTCCATAATATTATTATCATTGTTATAAAGAACGTTTTTGTTATTCAACACACATGGAAACTGTGTGTAAACAGAAAACAAGAGGCCCATGATGGTCCTGAAATCACTCACCTGAATACAGAAACTCTCAATGACAAGGAACAAGAAATATTGTAAACTATAAAGAAAGCAGAGGTAAAATCTAAATCTTAAACTGATATCACAAAGTTCATGCTAAATATCTAAGCTCTAATTTAACTCTTTGGGTTTTTTAAAAGAGATTTTTTAAGTTTTTCCTATATAAGGAAAATCAATGCACCCCAGGGCGGAGCCAATTCTAACCCACAGCTTTTATTTGAACAAACTTGTTAGACAGTACTACAAGAAGACACTAGAAGATGTTTTATGCTAAATATCTAAGCTCTAGCTCTTTGGGTTTTTTAAAAGAAGATATTTTAATTTTTTCTTTTGGTTGCCATGGCAACCAGAGTTCTTCATGGAATAAAATTCTTTGAACAATTTAGGAACATTCCTGTGAAGTTTCGATGAAACTGGCTTAGTGGTTTATGAGATGTCCTTTAGTTAACAGACAGACGGACGCCGGACAAAAGTGATCAAAAAACCTCACCATATCACTTTGAAACAGGTGAGCTAAAAACATTCCAAAACAAAATATTATACTGCTATTTAAATGCCCATTATGTCCCAAAAAGGCTATTTTTTTCCAAAAACTCTTTTTTTTATATCTTGTTACAGTTTCCAAAAAATACGTATCATCCATATAGTTGAACTATCTTTGCTCCATTTGCTTTGTTGGCAATAGGTTTTTATATAGTGAATTGGTATTTTGTATGGAGGTCAAAACACTACTTTGTTTACATTTTGCTACCTTTACTACATTTTGCTACCTTCACGACACATAGTAATTACTGAATATCAAAAACATGCTCCAAATCCATTGTTGAAACATTATCAAACACATGTTAAATATTTCTACAGAATTTAATAAATATGAATTTCTGAGGCATAATGTGCCTTAAAGTAGGGTTTTTAACTGTTAAAAAGGATTTTGTGCATGGGCTATTTTCTCAATAGGAAATCCGCCAACATATTGCTTCATGCAGGCATTTTGGAATTATTCTTCTAAAATTAAAACAAATATTTAAAACAAATATTTTTTTAACCTGCAGGCAGCAGAAATATAGCTTTAAAACATGCAATCTCACTGATTATTGCTTATTTTCTTTTTTGATTAGTAAAGGTTACTCAATCAACTTCCAAATGGCATTACCTCAACATAAATGGCGTTACCTCAACATGTTATAAAAGTGAACAACACTAACACAGTTATTATCCAATAAAACATATTTAAACTTGTTTATTTCTTTATTGACTCTCACATATCAGCCACTCGAATAATATCTATTCTTTAATCATAATTACCTACAACACTGCTAATCTTTATTGAAAGAAAATAGCTAAAACCTCTATTCAAATAGTGTTCCTATCTTAGTTAAATCTTTGCTGGCAAATAAGGTTTATCTTTACAAGTAAACAAAGTGTTCCAATAATACCTTACATAATAACACTATTGAATAAAATCAAAAAATTTTTATCAACAATTCTCAAATATTAGTCCATATGAGAACATATATTAATACAGTCATGCATAAGCGTATTAACATCAATGTTATTATACAATGTACATGCATAAACATATACATTGTTTATCTTAGCCCCTTTTTATAAACTATAATCAGGGTAAGAATTTTGGTGGGGTGTATCCCATATTTGTCCGTTTCATATAAGGTGCATATGGATCATTAACATAATATCGCCTTTTCTTCCAATAACCAGTTGTCATTTTGTCCAAAAGTCGCGACTGTTGTTTGTTAGTAAACACATGATATTTTCCCCTCTCTATCATCCACTCTGGCTTTTTCCAAAGTTTTTTCTTTCTACCCGCTCTTGGCCGGATATAAATTCCCCAGGGTAGGCGAAAGAACCTTCCCGGGACTGACTTGACAGTTTTTGGAGCAGCACGTCTGATACTGAATCTAACAGCTGTCCTTACACTTTTCACAAATGGCTGACAAGTTTGAAGAAGTGAACTGCAAGAAAATAAAACAGAGAATTATACCAGATTCCCTTAATATCTAGTGTAATGAAAGCAATACAATAAAGCTTGAATGATAAACTGTATTTTAGTCAAGGCCAACAAATTGTGTGCCATTGTATATTATATAAATGATGGTACCCACATCTATGTAATATCAGTATGTAAAATCGGTCAGTCTAACAGTTGAAGACTAGTTTTAGTCTTACAGTCAGTAACACAGTACATCACAATCATGTATCAGCAACAGTAATAAGTCTATAATTAGTATTCAAGGTTACTTCTTATTTACTAAATCTCTGTAAACTAATTCCTATAATTCATTTCAATAAATTTCTTTAAAAAAAAAAAAAAAACAACTATAAGTACCAAACACAGATGTATCTTAGTGACATTTATAGTTTGTGGCCGAATCCAACTAAAAATTACTACATGTATATATACATGTATTTATAGCTGGTTGCAAGGAACTTTTAAAAAGATTCTTGTAAACTATGTACCACTTTGTGTAAATTTCAGTTTGACAAGAAATCAGATCAGATACTAAGATAAATTTAATAAAAATAAGAAAAACTTTAGCAAAACAAAGAGAATCTGTAACAGCCAATGGATGCTTTTTCAGTTTGTTTATCTGACTTCCCTTTACCATAGACTTTGTTTATGTAAATCCTTAATATATCAGCTACTGAAGAAATTATGTTGTTTTAAAATAATGTAAAAAATGTATGATGACAAAGCAAGTATTTTACATAACAATTCAATTAGAAATCCAAATCTTTTTTGTAGGGTTTTATATACAGTCAAACAACAGTAGCCATACTATAATGGCCATACTTGTGCACAATCTTTTTTGCCTCTTCGTTTTATGAAATCTTGTAAAGAAGGACACCTGAAGTGGCTTGGTAGAACTACAAATGTTTTGTACATTTATGCTAGCTAGATTATGGTAGTTAAAGTCTTTAATAGTACACAAGACACAATTTAATTCTCTCTTTATACACTTTATTACCCTGATTTTGAAGTTGATAGTTTTGGCTGTGCTTGGTGTGTCCAATGTGTAAGACCTCTCTGTGCTGGTAAAGATATACATCCAGGGCTTCTGTTAAAACATTTCTGAAGCTGACATGTTGAGACGGTTTGGATGCTTGGTCTAACATAACTTGATGCAAGCGTCCCTGTTCAAAATAGAAATCAACAGCTAACACAAAATAACTTAAAAGCAAATAAAATGCATCATAAAGTGAAAATTGTTATATTTTTTTCAAGAAGTAAAATAACAAAAGAAATAAAGAAAAAATATTTTTTCATCTTTCCATACTAGAAGAACTTAAACAAGAGCATGAAATGAATGTCAAAATTTCAGCTTCATTTTATTTTGCTGAGAAAAATTGATGTTGTAGGCAACTCACAACTTTGTTGCACGCCCCTGTATATAGACATTCCCGATTTGAGTAAGTCTGTTCATGAGAGATAACGCAAAGTGCAACCTCTCCTATTCCCCTAGCAACACCTTCAGCAGTGCTCTTTTTTTTAACAAGATAATAATAATATGGGGAAATCAAAGACCAGGGCTTTTGCTTGGCTGGCTATAGAATACGAGTGTAGGACAAAAGCCTTCCCGTCAAAAAGTGACAAGGCGGACAAAAGCCCTCACGTGAAAATGACAAGGCGGACAAAAGCTCTCCCGTGAAAATGACAGGGAGGACAAAAGCCCTGTCGTAAAAATGACTTGGCGGACAAAAGCCCTTCTAAGAAAATAATAAGGTGGACAAAAGCTCTCCCGCAGCAAATACATATACGTACGTTGAATAGTTTCTATGTTCTTTTCAATGCACTCAAAATATTAAAATTGTAATCATTTATATTTTTGCTTATCATTGGTATTGATAAGCCTGTTTGTATGAGCTTAAGCACATTCCTGGCAGGCATCTGAATAATTAGTGCTAAAATCTTTAAGTGCATATTTATTCATGTAGATATGAAGGATTACTCCTATGTGAAGTTAAGATTAATAGAGAAATAAATGATAAAAAGAAGTTAAAATTATCTAACTTAAATGGTAAAGACATTTATAATGTGCCTTGTAATGAGTTAATTACTTTTAAAAGTGGCTTTGTTTTTAACGACATTCATGTAAAAAGTTACGTCATTAAACTTTTCAGGAAGTCAGAATATTCAGCATAAAATGTGGTTCTACTTAGGCCAATTGAAAACAACAAGAAATATATTTAACAATTCTAATATGTTGAGTGCATTGAAAAAAAAACAGGTATTCAACATACATATTTATTTTTGTTACGGGAGGGCTTTTGTTCGCCTTGTTTATTTCACAGGAGGGCTTTTGTCCACCCTGTTATGCGAACGCCAGTAAGTAAGTTAGTAAGTCCACCCTGTTATTTTCACAGGAGGGCTTTTGTCCGCCCTATCATTTTCACGGGAGGGTTTTTGTCCGCCTTTTCATTGTTTGATGGGAGAGCTCTTCTCCAGGAGGGCTTTTGTCCGTTTCCCATAGACTACAGTACATATGTATATTTAAAAGGAAATCAAATAAAAACAATTGAAAAATTTATGGAATTCTAAATGAATCAATGAAATCTGATAATGGCACAAGCTCAACTTTTAGGCTTAAGAAAAATGGTTGAGGTGATCTGACTGAAAACGGTAAAAGTGCATGAAATAATATACCGAATGACACCATAAAAACAAAAATTCTGGGATCGAAATTTTTTTCAGAACTACTCGTCCTGCAGATGTCAGCAGATTCAAACTTCTACTCATTCTGAATGGTATGCTACTCATCCTGCATTTTGGGCATGATTTTTAAATAAATAAATAGTTCTATAAATATGACGTTGCTTTGAGATATTTTTGCTTCTGGGCAAGGCAACAGTTGGGCATGCCCAACTAAGCCGATATGTCTAATAGCGAGCTCTTTACGGTAACGCGAGTACCTGCAACGTGATGGTTTTGAAAACGTTCGTTTGAAGTACCGAATTGGACACATCGCAACCTTTCGAATTTAAAGATAACGATAAAAACTGAGGAATTCTGACTGAAAACGGATGTGTAGACTGGTCACCCGCGCATGTCTATGGGAACCATAATTGGACAGGAAACCAGAATAACGGAAGCTGTCAATAAAATATCGAACGGAAATGTAAAATGAAAATTGAAGGCGCCATTTTGTTTGAAAAATCTGATAAATTAAAACAATTTTTTGTCGAATTTTGTTGTGAAAACTATCTAGAATGAAAGAAAATGGTCTAACTAAGAAAATGAATCCGAACACCAATATCTTTTATTCAGTCGTTAACGCTGTACAGACGTTTAAAGTATTGTTTACACGAGTCGTCACAATGTAGCGCCAAACAGCACGTGCAAAACAAACAAATCAAGTACGCTATTTTAATGTCGCAAACGTTTTAAGTTTTACATTTATTTCACTTTTAATAATCTTTATTTCGCTTGAAAAATTATAGAGTGAAATAAAATAAAGTTTTATCAACATTTTCAAAACTCGTTATTCATTTAACGACAGGGGCGGAGCCAACACAGTACGTGTAACGTCACATGCACTCGTCACTGCATTTCAAATAAAAATGAGCGATTATTTCATACTATATACGTTAAAAGTACATCGAGCTCGCTTTGAGGCTTTGCCTTTTTCATACGGGGAAGTTAAAGACCGGGCCCGCGAAGTGGGTCCGGGCTTTGGCTTGCCCGGCTATAGACTACACATGGATATTTAAAAGAAAATCAAATAAAAAACAATTAAAAAATATACAGAATTCTATACCTATCAATGAAATTTTCAGTGTCAGTTCTAGTCGGGCGCCGCCATTTACAATGTATGTCAATGATAATAGGCGGGGTATTCCGATAACGGAACAAATCTCAACTTTTCGGATTAGTAATAATCATCAAGTGTTCCGAGTGAAAACGGAAGCGGTGTATGCAATATCGAATGACGCCTTTAAAACGGAAAGAATGAAAGGATTTTTTTAACGACTTCCCCGTTCATAGGCTTTGCCTAATTTCATATTATTATTTTAGACTAATAAATATCCACATACTGCCAGTTTTCAATCACAACCACTTTTCAATCATCCCTAGAAATTTTTTTATTTTTGACCTTATTTGTCATGTAACCAAACTGTAAGAACATCTGGTATTCACCTTGACTAAATTTATCAGCAGCAATGTCAATTATGGCGATTAAAAAAGAAAATACTAGCATTTTAGTTCAAAATATGTAAAATGTGTGTTTTCCACTAATCCTTTATTTTCCAAGTTACAAACCGCAATAATTTTCTAAAAATAATTGATTTACAGACTCTGTTTTTTGTCAGTCTGCAGAAATGGATACTAAGTTGGACAACTGTTTCAATATCATGAATTCATAATGTATACTGCACTTCAAAAGCTGTAATTTTAATATGTACATATTATACCATACAGTTCTTAATTGGAAGGTAATACATCAGTAAAGTAACAGTCACTTAACCAAGGAAAAACATTCTCTGTGATAACTTTTCAGTAAGCAGTCACTAGAATGGGGTCATATAGACCCTAAGATCCTAAAACTTTCACAAGAACATGCTTTATCTGTTATGCAAATTGAAATGTACATCCATACCCCAATTGTGACAGCTTTACCACTGCAAATAGATATCTAGATTGAAAAATGGCATTATAATTAGGTTAAAATTGTTTATTACCATTTATCTGAAGTTGAGTTTGTCAAAATTTCTCCAAAATACAGAACTAATTATATTTTAACATTGTATGACAATTTTTATGTGATACAGTTAATAATTTGTTAACTGATTGAAAAGTGGTTGTGAAATTTTGAAGAACAGGAAAATGGGTCAGTAATGATTTGTCCTCGATTCATAGTAATAATTCAAGTAAAATTTTAAAAAGTTGGTGCATTTATTAGCTGATATGATAATATTCACAGAATTGACAGAGAATTTTTTTATATATAATTCCACTGTCAGTTATTGTTGAAAAATCTGTTAGCTGATCGGAAAGAGGCAGTACGGGGATACGTTACATTGAAAACCTTATCCAAAGACTTGTACCAAGCCCAATAAGTAGAAAATAAGCCCAATAAGTAGAAAAAGCTATTGTTCTTCAAATGTTTGTGCTAAAGAAGTACACAAGGAAGTTGTAATTTGTAGACTACATTTTTGACCTTTACTGAACATCGCGAAAATATGAGACAAATACATATTTACTAAAAGAAGAAAATTTTCTTCCCGTTTATTAAAGTATATTTGTGAAAAATTGTTTGTTTTTTTCAAGTAGAATAAAATTTGACAAAGTTTTAGACTGACAAATTGAGAAAATACACAAAATATACCTGCTAGTTTTCTGAACAAGGACGCTGCCATCTTGGATTTACTAAATTTCTACCCTCCCAACGAAAATAACGTTGTGGTATTCTTGCTACCGTAGCAGACGCTTTATTTAGTTGTGACTATATGTTTTAAAAGAGATTTACATAACCGAAACTGTGTATTGCCGAGTAATAATTTCTAAAAATTTCAACACCTGCTCCCAGGTGATTTTTTTCCAAAGATGATAATTGTTCTGGAATTAAAGTGCCTAGGCCTATATCTAGCTACATGTACATGTACCTGGTCCGATTTGATTAAAAAAAGCCTAAAAACATCAAAATAATCTCAACACAATGTTCATATTTACTATGGAAACAACAATATCATCACGCAGGAGGCACGCAGGAGTTTTACTTTCACTTTCTTATTGTATTTTTACAACATACACTAAATCAATTATTAAAACATTATTAAACTTATGTTTGATATTCATAAATAATCTTATAAATATGGATTTCTGAGGCATAATATGTGCCTTGACACTAAATTTGTACACTTAACTTTTTTTTTAAAGTCAACATAAATCCCCAAGGTGTGTTGCTTTAAATCTCTTTGAAATTGGTATTTTGAATTAAACCCTGTTACTGTGGCATAAGGAAACAAATTGTTTCCAAAATACAAATGAGCCGTGTCATGACAAAACCAACATAGTGCGTTTGCGACCAGCATGGATCCAGACCAGCCTGCGCATCCGCGCAGTCTGATCATGATCCATGCTATTCGCTTACAAGCCCAATAACAAGTAGAGAAACTGATAGCGAACAGCATGGAGATGCAAAGGCTGGTCTGGATCCATGCTGGTTGCAAACCCATTATGTTGGTTTTGTCATGACACGGCTCATTAATGTAGAGCTTAAGAGTCAGACTGCCTTCATCTAAATGATTCTATCATACTTTGGCACAAGTTATCTGGTAATTGCAGTCACCAGTGACAACAAGTGTAGGTGATAGGAACAGGATGATCCGTGATTTTTTTTTTTCAATTTTCTTAAAACAACCTGTGCTTTTCTGAAGGGAAAAATATAGCGTGATAAATCAGAAAAGGGAAAAATCAAATTCTACAACTGTAAATGGAATTTATCCACTCATTTTATAAAATTTCAATTCAATTCAATTCAACATTCTGAGTACATAGAAGAGGCTGTCTATAGGGACAGCTTTCTGTCTTCTAGCTGATATACGTCAGCTGCTGTTAAGTCATGGTTCTGGTGAAAAATGTGCACATGGCGTTTTAGGGGAAAATATATCCATTTTGTGCTAGGGGAAACAGCCTTTATTTGGATGTAAAATAAAGGAAAAAAAATCACTGTTAAATGATAGTCTACTTTAATGTTAATATTTTTAGAGGTTACTTTATTAGAACCAATTACAAATGTATACTCATAAATATATATAACACGTTCTTCTATAGTATTTATGCATTTTATTAAAGTAAATCACAAAATCAAATAACATAACAACATACATTTATTGCACACATCCCTTTAACTGTCTAGGTAGAGATATACAATTTAATAGTTTTTAACTATACAATAATGTATTATATTCATCAATTGAATCTACAAGTAAAATTTCCTTCAATAAATGGTAGATATCATAATAATTATACTTTAACAAAAACTATCTTTATAGTTTGTCAAAGAATGATATAAAACGCAAAATAAATTTTTTATTCTTGAAAACTGATGTACATGTAGGTGTATTAAGAAAAGTTATCTTTTTGCAAACTACATTTCTTTGCATCAACTTACATTAGATTTAAGTAAATAAATGTAATCTTGTAGAAATGAAAAACAAACAATTGAAAGAGAATATTTACATTCATTTTACAATGTAACTATAACACTTGACACAAATGATCTTTAAGTAATAAATATATCTGATGTATATGTGTATATATTTTGGGCAACTGCTGAATAAGTAAATCGTCTCCAATTAACTTAGTTCAAAATATGTCTATACAAAGATTGGCATTTTCATCCTTGTCTTTTATTTAACATGTCACTGTGACAACAGTGTTGAAACTATAATTTTTCCATCTAGGTAACCAGTCAAACAAATTTTTGTGTCAATATTAGGTGACCAGTCTACCGTTGTTATCAAGGATGACCTATGACCTCTCAAATCCATCATGTACAATAGTCCTGGATCCTCCTTGATTAGCTGAAAAATAAGGTAAAATACAGTCAAACTGTAAATTAAACAGGGCAAAGCCACCTTAAAGTGCATTTTCTAGTTATTTTTATAAAGGGAAATAGGCACATTTACATCTGAAAAAGAAAATTTATGCTAGAATTATGTTTCTTGTTATTGTTTCTTTGTTATTGATTTATACTGGTAACCCAAAAGTCCAGTGTAACATTTAAAACAATTATTTGCCAGAGATAATGGGCCTTGGGCAATGACCTACATGTACAATTATGATCCAAATGAAAACTTGTGTGAAGTGAATACCTTCAGTTATTTATACTTATTAATATAGAATGGATTTAAATCAATACAGTGTTGGAGCAGTACCTCTACACACTTACAGAAATCATGATCACAAAATAGACAAACATCATTGCATTCCGTAATACCGTATTTAGGTGGTGCTCCAATCCTTTTTTTAGTCTCACTCATATGGAATATAAAGATGCATGCAACAGCTTATATTATTTAACCAAAGTTGGTATGATAAATCAATTATAGTTAGTTATAGTATTTCTTAAATACTCTAGCTAAATATCTAAATTCTGTGCTAAAAAAAGAACTGCTCAGACATCGTACCCTGTATATTTCAGCACTTGTATCGTTGCAGCTCATTAAATAATGTCCATCAGAATCCAAGGCCAACAGTTTACCAACAGGGACTTCCTTTGTGTTACCAGACTCAAGCTGGGAGAAGTTTGGTACTGCCCCCTGGTGGAGTGGTAAATCCCGCAGTTTTAAACCAGTCTTGTGCATACTCCATTCACTCATCTAGAACAAGAAGAAACGTCACAATTCAGCCTATTATTTTCACATGCCTACTATTCTTTAAAGTATTTTTTTTAAACCATCACTTCTCCAAATTTAGCTTTACTTGTTATGTGTAATGCTTTATTTTTGTAAGGACTTAAATAAGCATGTCCGATTATATGCTAGAAATCTGCTAAATAGGTATTTTGTAAAGAAGAAAGAAACCTACAGCAAAAACTTTCTGTACCTGCCTTAATAAGTATGGATGGATTTTATGCTAAATATATGTAAAATTTGCCACTATTTATATAACTATTATGTTGAAATATTCACTTCACTAATAGTATTTGCAGACACATAAAACCTAGCATCTGAACATTTAAAAATTATAAACAATTTTGCAATGGCATAATTAAAATCAACAGTTTAACACAAAACACACAAGATACTGTCTAAGTTAATAGATCAATGTTATGCTGAATCATTAGATCATCAGCATATATTTTGCATATTGTACATGTATATATACACAATCGTACCTTTCCGTCATTACCAAGACTGTAACAGGAATTATAGTCGGCCGAGTACTGGATGTTTCTAATGTCACTGTGGTGTGCCTGCCACTGTGATATACATTTCTCCTGGCTTACATCTGTAATACAATATACACAAAATACCATGTGATATGAGCTGCGTCACGAAGAAACCAACATAGTGCGCTTGCAACCAGCATGGATTCAGACCAGCCTGGGCATCCGCGCAGTCTGATCAGGATCCATGCTGTTTGCTTACCAACCCTATTACAAGTGGAGAAACTGATAGCGAACAGCATGGATCCTGATCAGACTGCGCATATGCGCAGGCTGGTCTGGATCCATGCTGGTCGCAAACGCACTAAGTAGGTTTTGTCGTGAAGCCGCTCATATATACTTAATTGTTTATTATTTTGGATTAAATCAATCAGATAAGCTATATATTTACTTGGTTTACTACTTCTCACGATTTAACAAGTTTTTCTTTATTATTAATATTAATTGGTTTTTAGCTTCATCAACAATATGAAAATCAATTTCCAGTTTCATTGGCAGAGGAAGACCTCAAGTGATCCATTGTACATTATTAATTCAGCGCAATGCCCACATAGAACTACATACCTTCCAGATATTTTTCAGAGGTCAGTTACATGAATATCAACTAAGATGGCCAAAGGAATAAGGGACTAAATGTTAAGTTCTTTTCTTGTCTTTTTTTCTCTCTATTTCAACAAAGTGTAAATCTTTTGTTCATATATACAGACTAACAGAAAAAAGGGTACAGATAAAGTTAAATTTGTACATACAATGTATATGTAGAAAAATATAAAGGGGGGGGGGGGGGGAGTCCAACATTCTGATACAACAAAGTAATAATAACACCCCTAAAGCCATGTATACACAAAGGCTCTTTCACACATCTAGTACAGCACTTTGCTTACAAGTTGGAAATTATTCAACCAAATTAAAATTATGCATTTTTAATTCCAAATTAAATTTCTATTTAACTCTGTATAATTTCTATGATATTTTATTTCAGGACATGACTTTGAGGTAATATAGAGGAATGTTCATGTAGAATTCAAGCTTACCAAAAAGTCTGATCATCCCGTCGGCTCCTCCTGTTATAAGTAACTGACCATTATGGTTGAACGAACAACTGTTTATACATGCTGAACCCGGTTCAAGAGGAAGTGTTTTCTGAAAAATCATAACATTGGTTGATTGTTTGTTTGTTTTTATTTTTACGCCTTTTCCCAACAGTATTTCACTCATATAGGCGGGTAGTTTCCTAACCATCGTTCCTGGAGAGTTACACCAGTACTAGACTACCTTCCTCCGCGCTAAACTACCAAAGCATCTCCCGGGGATCAAACCCATGCCAGAGAGGTAACTGGTTGAAAACAAATAAATATAACAGACCTACAATACTAATGCATGTAATATTATTCTTGAAAAGGTGAGCAAAGGTCTAGCCAGTTGTGTTTAAAGCCTGCCTATAAACCCAGTAATAATAGGTTTTAGACCAACTATGGTTATGACAATATCTCTATATCATACAGAGCCCACCATTCTCTGACTAATTGAGCTAAAAATTTATTATAATTATTTTTGTTCATTTTCTTGCTTTTTTTCTTCCAAAAAGTATAGGTTTTACTTATTCTTTAAACATGAAATGGAAAATATGAATCCATGATTTACATTCTTTTCATCAGCCTTAATTAGTTTATGCTAAATGAATTTTAGTTTGATTGTGTTGGAAGCTTAAAGCTTATTGAAACACTCTAAAATCTATTCCTGGAACCTACCAGTACTAAGCAATGAGTGTAAAGTTTCTTGTTTACAAAAAACAACAGCTTGCCTCTCAAGGGATTTGAACTCATGCAGTCAGCAATCCTTAGATTACTAGTCAGATGTGTTAACCAGTTAGCCACATCCCTACTAAATACTTTGTAAATGAACAACTTCAGCTCTGGCAGAAAGTGGAATAACTTACATCAGTTTTCATTGTTTTAAGATCCCATACAGTAAGTTTACCAGCCCTGGAATCATGACTTGGCCCTATATCAGAGCTGAAAGAGGACGATCTCGGATGTCCAGAAGTTGCTGAACATACAAACATCGGAGATGCTGGGTTAGAACACAATGTCACTATTCTGTAAGGAGGACAAAACTGATGTATTATCATGTATAATAAACTGAACAAATGTTACTGCATAACACTTGGAGTACAGAATATTATGTCAAGAAGTACTGTCAGTACAGATTAATCACATACATTGACAGTTTAAGGCATTTATTAAATGCATCCAACCTAAAACATTGATGAAGTTCTGGCTTATTTTTGTTTAAAAATTGCCAACATATCACATTAATGAGTTCAACAAGAAAATTTAAGTTCAACTAGAATGTGTTCATAGAACATGAATGCCCCCATATTTCAGTTATGTCAGTCTATGGACAATCAGAATGACATCTGGATGGATAGACAAGAGCAAATTTATATGCCAGTAATAGGGGAAAAATTTAATTCCACAGTTCAAGACATTGAATTTGCAAATGGTTCACTAATCACCTAATCTTACAATCACATCTTTAAAACATGACATCTGTTCAAGTAAAAACAATAAGTAAACACTTTACACAGATATGATACATAGATATGAAGAAAGTCTTACCTTGGATAGCTAGCATCAGCCGTTGCTTCATAAAATGATTTCATTTCCTTCACATCAAACAAGCGTATGTTCCCAGATCTGTTGCCCAGCAATAACTTGTAAAATAAAACAAACCATATTAATCCTTTGAGCACAAGGTGGAATTATGACACACTTACACCTGTCAAAATTCTGTGACGATACTGCTGAAATCTAATATTTGATGCAGATATCCCTGAATCTACTCGTGATTCCAAGGCATAAAGAATTTTTCAAATTTCAAACTCAAATCTAAGGAATATGATTGGTCAAAAAACAGCACCAATTAACCAATTGCAATCGTAATATTCCAGACTTTGCTCAGAAAAAGATTTATAACCTCAAGGCCAAAACAGTCCCAAAATATATAAATTTTGAAAATTCCATTATACAAATTTAGCATGTTAATATTCATTAGTCTCAAAGAATATCATGTTAACTAATCAAATGTTCAGGAAAATGAATCTAAGACAATAATTAATTTATGATAAATGTACTTAAGTTGAGAAAAATCATTAAAAAAAAGATCCTTCAAGCTGCACGCCTCCAGATGAGCAAACAAAATTCAAGAAAATCAATATTGAGAAAAATGTACTAACATTTTAAGAAAGGTAAAAACAGTCAAGATCAAAGTTAAATTTTACATGTTATATGCAGTTTAACACTGATTTTGCAGTATCTTATCACCATATTTCTACTGCCCTACTAATGCAGTAAGTGCTGTTTTTGCATATGCTGACCACTTTTTGGTAATTTATTTGGATTGTAAGTGCTGACTGCAATATGTAAATATTTTGTTTGTTCACCATACAATATTTTACTTTAAAATACATTTCCAATATTTTCATGAATATTAACATAAATCTTGAGGTGTGCTGCTTTAACATTCAAGTTATTATTGTTGAAATAAACTATTCCATCATTGCTAAGGTTTATAACAGTTTGTAAGACTTACCCGTTGTTGACATAAAAATTAATGCTTACCTTGGCCCGGGTTGGCCCGGCCCCTTAGTGCAGGAATGCTTTTAGAAAATAACTTTTAGTTTTGTAACTGCCCTTTGGGGTTAGACCCTTTCTCTGGAAAAATTCTTGTTTTATAATTTGTCTTCAATGGTTTATTCAATAAATTCATAACATACCCTCTGTTTTTGGGCATTTTTAGGGGTCAAAAAAAACCCAAACTTGGGTTTTAAACATGGTCCAGCCCGCCTTTGCACACGCGCAGTTGATTTAGGGCCCCTGCTGTTGGTTTTAAAAACCTATAAAAAAGTAGAGAAACTGATAGCGAAAAGCAAAGGATCCTGGTCGGGTTGCGCGGAAAAGCGCAGGCTGGTCTGGATCCATGCTTTTTTGAAAAGCACTATGTTTTTTTTTTGTATGAGGGCTTTAATTTTGGGTTTTTTTAGAGAATTCACAGCTGAGTATTTCGGCTGGTATAAAAAAATCTGTCGAAAAAAACCTTCTTTATCATTTGCAATTTGTCCCCTAAATCAAGAATTTACAAGTGGGTTTGAAAAAGGGGACAATTTATACATTTAAAAAAAATGGTTTCGTACAAATAAATTTTTGAAATTTTCCCCGTTCCCGAAGTGTCCCCAAATTTAAAAGTTTAGTGTCTGAAAGTTTTAATTTAAATTTAAAAAAAATAATTTTTGGGAAAAAAAGGAGGCAAATTTTTAAATTTTTTTTCAAGGGAGATCTCAAGGCAATTTTTTTTTTTTCCTTTTAAAATGGAAAAAAAATATTGAAAAATTTAAAAAATTATATGGTTTCATAATAAAGTCACTTGATACGCCCTCAACATCCCCACTTGAAAATACTTTCCAATGTTACTAAATCTGGGAATTGATAGGGGCCCCATGTCTGAATACCATTTCCCGAAGATACAAAACCCTGTACATGTTTTTCCCAGCTGCCCCAATACTAGACAATAAAAATGCAAAGGAAATAGGCCAAAAGCCCCGATAAAAATTTTGAAAATAAAAAAAAACAAAAAACATCAAAATCTGCCAAATGACCCCTGTACTGGTTTCTTTTGAATCATTAAAAAAAATGTATGTCAATTTTTTTTTTCATTGACTTTTAATTTTTTTTCAAAAATTTTTAACAAACACTAACTTTTGGGTTTAAATTTTCTACTAAATTTTTTAAACAAAAATTATACCATAAAATAACTTTTTATTTTTTTTTACGGTTTTTATGTAAAAACCACTAACAGAGGTATGGAAAAGTTTTTGTTGTTAAATGGGAAAAACAAAAAAAACATTTTGGGTGCAAGTAGGTTTTTTTTATGAGAAACATTTTAAATTTTTAACTGTGCTGTCTGGGCTTGATGCATGGGGAGAATCTTTGAGCCCTGTCCGACAAAACCAACACATGTAAAGGTTTGGAAGCATGGGTCCCGACACCCTGTGCATCGCGCATTCTGATCGGATCCTGTGTTCGCTATCAGTTTCTTTTACTTGTTTTAGACTTTTTTTTAAACGAAAGCTGGGGTCCCGATTTAGACTGCGTGGGTTTCGGGAGGTGGTTTTGGATCCCTGGGGTTTTCAAAAAGCACTATGTTTTGGGTTTTTTATGGCACCGGGGCCCCATTTGTCAATGGTAGGTTGTGAGTAAAAAAATGTCAGGATTTTTTTTCCGGGGTTTTGGGGGAAAATGAACCCTAAAAAATGGAATTTAAAAGTCAGCAAAAGTTTTATTTAAGATTGGGAAAAATCATGAATAAAATTTTGTAGTGATTAAATGACTGAAAACAATCACTGTCTAGAATGGCATCTTCAAACATTTCAGCACCATTACAGTGAAGAAGCCTTTATTTTCAAAGATTTTAGAATTTTTTATTCAATATCTTTATTTTGTAACTTTCAATTGGGAATTTTTTCCTGTGGTTTGGGAAAATAATATACTATTTTCAATTGGGAATAATGACCGAATATCGGCTATAAAATATTAAATAAGCCAAAAAAATCCCTGAATGTAGTAACATATTTAGAGAGATTTTGATGAAAACTACTATAGTCTTACCTGACTTAACAACAGAAAAGGTTTCTCATGAACTGAAAGACATAAAAAAAAACACATTAAATCATTGTAATAATTTGTAGTAATTATTAAACTCTTTAATTATTTTCTTTTGTTTAATAGAGGCCAATGGCCCCTTACTCTATTGTTACGGAATGAACTCTATATAATAGAGGGCCAATGGCCCCTTACTCTATTGTTACGGAATGAACTCTATAGTTCTCTTTTGTTCTGTTTACAGTTAGATGGCCCCCTATCCCTATTAGGTAGTGCAGACAGACAGATAACAGAGAAGTGATTTATGTCGCCACTACACCTTAGAGGCTACACACAAAAAAAAATCATTTCTGAATAAAAGATCACAAAAAAGAACTTTATCTCAACAGGTTGAAAATACTGTTTTCTATAATATCAACTACATTATAAAATTATCTGCTTTTCTCAGAAGCTTAAGAAAGCTTGAATGAATACTTTTGGATATATGGAAAGACTTGCAAACAATCAAATATGGGAAAACTTCAATACTTAATTTTTAGGGGTCATTTGTGTTATTTACATTAAACGTTTTGAACTAGATAAAAATACAAATGCATAATGGTATATATCAATATTGACAAAGTAGTATAGTAGTATCATACTTGATTCGGGGTGTCCGTGGCCGAGTGGTTAAGGTCGTTGACTTCAAACCACTTGCCCCTCACCGCTGTGGGTTCGAATCCCGACAGGGACTTTGGATTCTTTCATGTGAGGAAGCTATCCAGCTAGTTTACAGAATGTTGGTGGATCTACTCAGTAGCCCGTTCGTGCCTGAAATAATGCACGGAGGGGCACCGGAGGTCTTCCTCCACCAGTAAAGCTGGAATGTCGCCATATGACCTATGCTGTGATGGTGTGATGTAAAATCCCAATCAAACAAACAAACAAATCATACTTGTTTCTAATGTTTTTGTCTCTGTGCTGGATGTGGCAGGTTGTTCCGGCTCAGTAACAGAGGATGTGAGTGGAAATGTTTGCATCTCCTCTGCCTTGCTGGGCCCACCAGTTCCCAACATTGTTGCTAAGGTAGCTGTTGCTAAGGGAGATACAGTCTCCATGGAATCACTTGTTCCAGATGTGCCAGAATACATACTGGACTATAAAAAAGATATTGTGAACAGAAATGAAAATAACCTTACAGCAAAAATATCAAAAATATACCTCATAGCTTTGGTTTGAACAAATGTAAGGGCAAGTAACCTTTGATAAGTTGGTTAGGCCTCACTGTTGCATTTTACAGTAAACTCTTAACAGTTCATAGTGATAAAAGGTTTTGCATTATCATATCTATATGGAACAACTCATCTTTCAAAATTGTATAAAGTTCAAAATATAAATTCTTTCAAAACTGTACAAAATTGAAAATATAAATTGTGTATTTTGCAATACATAGAGGATATTCAAGTTTTTTCTATAAATACATGATTTATTTTCATCGAGTGGTATGAAAATAAATATTTCATGAGTGGCGGTAGCCACGAGTGAAATATGGTAATTTTCATGCCACAAGATGAAAATAAATCATGTATTTATAGAAAAAACTTGAATTTTCTGTTTATTATATACATTTTTCTCTTTCTGGACATTAAAATTTGCAAGACTTTCCCTTAAATTTTGAGTACTGGCAGAATTTAAAAGAAAGTAGTCCGGCAAGACACCAGTGAAAATACGGAAAATATGTTTCACTGCAGTGAAAAATAAATTTTTACAATGAAAATACCGAAAATGAAAATACGCATTTTATTTCATCAATATTTCTCAATATTTCATTTCAATGTATATAATAAAACACAATATTAAAATATAGCAATTTTTGTGATAGATGTCTTAAAAATATATGCTTCTTCAAAGTATATGAACCCTTATCCTGCTTACTGTGAATGAATTTACCTATGCAACTATCAACTAGCATGCTTATATGCCATTTAATCATGGTCTGCACTGTTTGCTAGTCAGTCGGTACTTATTTTGAAATTTCCCCTTAATATGATGAATATCTTTGTCAAGATTTAAAAAATGGACAAGTCCATTAAAGGAATTTATCAGATTAAGTGTTAATTTTATATATCAATGCAAAGATTCCACATGAATTTGGATCATCTATTAATATATTGAAGTTTGTGACCACATAAGTTTGTATTACCATGTAAAAAGACTTTTACAGATTACTATGTACATGTACATAAACTAGTGGTGAAAACTTGTATCACACAAACATACCTTTGTTTCTAGAACACTCTTGCTTACAGTTCTTCTAGTCCCCCTCGGTGAATATTTCGGTGTCAACGTATCCACACCGGATTCAGATAATGACCGGTTATAACCGGTACTGACGTCTTGTTTTACTTCTGGTGGCTTCTGTAAAACATTAAGCATCTGTTTATAATTCATTGCCTTTTCTGATTACATACAATGTAAGTTTTTCAGTGTTACACATGTCACGGTATGAACTGTTCACTAATCAAGGGAAAAAAAGTAACAAATGGCCTGATAACTCAGTCAGTAGAACCACAGTACAGTATTACGAAGGCTCTATGTTCGAGTCTCAGTCAAGCTGCACATTTTTCTGTCAATTTACCATAATCTGCTGACATTAGGTGCTGGAGTTGCTGATATACTGTACATATATTTTGAAACTGCTTGTTCTCTTAAACAAATGATTTAAACCTCAAAATTCAAGCAGTGACATTAAGATGCATGTACTTTGCCTATAGTCCAACTTATTGCAATATGCGTTGAGATATTCTGCTATTTTGTGTATGGGCAATATCTCCCACTCCAAGCACAAGTCAGATTCTGACAAAGAAAAAAATATCTTAGTTCTAGCTGAAGTTGGCACATCACAATCATGTTAAAGTCATAAGATACCTGTACCTTTTCTTCTTTCACCTTTGTGCTCGCTTCAAACAGTTCCTTCCTCTTCTGTTTTGCATCTTCAATCTTCTTCATCTTCTGATTGGCTGGTGACATTTCTACTGTATTGTGATTGGTTGAAGTATCTGTCACATGACCAACTGCTGCTGGTTCCAGGCTCTGTACCTTATTTCCTTTCACTGGTGGTTTCCTTTGTTTGTATAACTGGCAAGAGTTGTTCCTTTGCTAGATTAAAATTTTTTGTTCCCCTCGGGCTTTTGTTTGGGGTATTTTTTTTTTGGACTGGTAAAGATTTTTCATTCTTTTCCCAAAATTTGGGTGGGGATATGAAAAAGGGAACTTCTTCGGGGTTTGGGGGTTTGTCTCGGGTGCTGTATTTTTAAACAAAAAAAATATGCTTCTTATTTTTACAAATAAAATATCGTCGTACATTATTTTCCCTGGAAAACCTTCATTTTTTTGTGTAATTTAATTTTCCAAATACCCCACTGGGATTATTTACATGCAACTGTTAATGCAAGTGTACCATGTGACTAAGAAATTTGTACTGTAACAGGATAATGGTATTTTTAACAGTATAAAATCTGGTAACATGGTTTATTTTCTATAGAAAATAAAATCATAAAAAAAACATCAGAGTTATTACTCGAGGGTAATAAAATAAATAACACATGGGTTTGTGAGTAACAGTCAAAATATCATCCCTCGTAAAAATACTGTTACCCTCAGCAAATGCCTTGGATAAGAGTATTTTCCTCGGGATGAAATTTTACTGTTACCCACAAACCCAGCATGGGTAAAACTAATGGAAACAACAGTCTGATATGCAAGAATAAATGAAGGATCCTGGCTGCCCATCTGATATATTTTGCATACCGGTACTTAGCTTTAATCAAATGACTGTTATAAGAGTGGCTAAACACATGACTAAGGATGGTTGATCAAACAAAATGAAGAAAAAAATCATATCAAAAGAATAGTTTAAAACTTCTGTTGAAACAAGCTTTAATACAAATATCTTTATTCCTTTTTATGTTTTTGGTTGGGATTTCAGTCAAACCAATACTGTAAAAACCATCTTGAACAATTGAAAAATAACTTACTCTCCGAGAGATGAGAAGTCATATACAAGATCCATGTGACTGCGGTCACTCAAATAACTTTCTCGATTTGTCATCTTTGATGTCAGGTCTGGTTTCTCCCCTAATGACTTTATCTATAAATGGATTAAAGAACATATCATGCGATGCTGTGCATTCTGAACTTTTTACTAAGCAAAACAATTTGAAATCGGTTTTTACAGCGAAACTGTTTTTTTAAAAACGGGTCTTATTAAAGTTTCCCGCCCCTGGTGTGGTTGGTGTGGGTGGGGAACAGGTGGGCAGTGTCCAATTTTTGTACAGAGCATATCTCCTACACACATGGAAGTGTTTCAATGAAACTTCATGGCAATGTTCACATATGAGAAGCTGTGTTGCGCACATGAACCAGGTCTCTTGGTCAAAGGTCTAGGTCACATTTAGAGTTACAGGCCATTGAAGAACCAAGACTTTTGTATGCTATAACCAGAATTGAAAATTTAAGATATTATAAACAAAATAGGTATAAGTAGTGTCTGCATACACAATTGATAGAGAGAATGTGAATTTTTTATCCAAATTTTTTCATCATTGATCAATGATGTACAATTTACATTCATTTATTTATATTATCTAATCTACATACAAAATGTAATTCTGAATATTCTATGCATATTTCACAACACCATACACATTTCTTAATTCCATTCATTACTATAATCATTTATTTTGAAGTTATACACATGCAAAATTTCTATTATCATTATTATTTATTAAATAGTGTCAATATGTATGTATACTTAACCTGTGGTACTCTGCCTCCATATACCAGGTATTCAAGTACATGTTTATTACAGAAAGCAATCAAAAGCAGTATAGTATGCAGATTCTTTCCAAAATTTTAATTCCTATTATCCTTCTAACCTCACATCATTACAAGAAAATCTTAGCCATGCAGTTTTAAAAGTTCAATTGTCTATTACTAATAGTGTTGTACTACAACAATCAGAACGTTCCCGGCTATTATCTATAATAACCTCGGAAACAATACAGAGTGAAAGTAGTTTTACCATGTGGTTTCAGATGTAAACATAAAGAGAGAGTGTAATAACAAATGTATATATTTAACATCAAAAAGAAAAGTAAGTCTGTTTCGGTACAAATATGATTGAAAATATGTCTGACAACCATTTTTAATTTAAATATGCCCACAGATGTACAATTTGAAACAAATCAGACTAATTGTCAACAGGTTGACAGTTTTACTTTCAGTTTCTACAACCATAATAATAAACATACAAATATTGTATTGTTTGCTTTTGTATCTATAGATTCACTTATTTAAGGTGGGCATTTACTTGATATATTGGAAATAAACTTGTCAACAAGTCCCAGCATTAAATCATTATTTGTTTACATGTTTAGTTTCTTAGCATAGGTTAAACCCAAATACCGTATCCGTTCTGTGTATTCATACTATTGTGTGTGAGGTCCTTATCCGAAGACTGATGGGAAAGTGCCTAAAAGTTGCGATTGGTACTACAATTGTTTACCTGTACTTTCAGTTTGTCATTTTCATCCTGCAGGTCTCTAATCTGTCTATATTCAGCTTCAAAACTAAGCAATACTGGACCTGGTGCAATACTGTTAAGGAAATCTAAACACTACCCCATTTCATATCAAATAAAATAGAGCTTTACATCTACTATTACTTTATGTATTAGTTGTGACATACAATGTAACATTTTAACTCGTGCTAAATTCTGACTAGTCAGGCTTTATATTTGAAAAATCCATTAACCTATTGGTAACAGATTCTACACAAGAAACCAGTGCAGATTGCAGACCAAGATCTGCCAGTACATATGTGTCTTCTGATCATGGTCTGGGGCGTCCATGGCCGAGTGGTTAAGGTCGTTGACTTCAAACCACTTGCCCCTCACGGCTGTGGGTTCAAATCCCTACTGGAACTCTGTATTCTAATCTTTCATGTGAAGAAGCTATCCAGCTAGCTTACAGAATGTAGGTGATTCTACTCAGTACCTATTTTGAATTTTTCCCAATAAAATGATGAATGGCTTTGCCATGAAATGAAAGATGGACATGTCCGTTTAAAATATTTAGGATGGTAAAGGCTAAAAGGTTTCAATGTCAACTGCAAACAGAAAAGGGTACATATTACTTGTATGCAGGCTGCCCTGGATCTAAACATAGTAGACATAATAAATTATGCCTGTCCTTAATATGACTAGAACTCAACATGTAAATACTATATATTACACAATTACACATTCAATTTTAATAATGCTTAAATAAAGTCAAGTTTGAAATATAACGCAGCTGAATACTTTACTCAATTAGAATTGATTTGAATTAACAACAAACTTTAAAAGGATATGCATAGCTTGCAGAATCACACTTAGAAAGTTGTGAAGTGAAAGGAAGAATGTCTCCTGCCACTGCACAGTAAAATACATTGTAAAATGACTGTTCTCCCGTGGGTTCCTTACAAATGGAAAAGCTGAAATTACAAATAAATCTTGGTTACATGCTAGCCATATCGAAAGTTTATGTTGCATTTAAAAGAAATGTAGCTAATGCTCTGAAATAACAAGACTGCATTTGAGAAAAATGCTATGCCACCGCATGGTTCAAATTTCATAGCTGTACATCAAAGGACAAGAAAGTAGGTCAAATCATCAAAATCTAGGTCAAAGTTCAATTTTACAACTAAAACTGTGTACATGGTCAAAATGTCATACAATGTAGCTGTACATCAAAGGACAAGAAAGTATCTATGTACATAATGAAAATCAATGACCCCCGGGGCAGAACCAATTTTGACCCCAGGGCTATAATTTGAACAATCTTGCTAGAGGTTCACTACACAATGTTTCATGCAAAATATCTTAACTCTTTCCTTTGTAAATTTAGAGAAGATGATTTTTTAAGTTTTAACTATATACATATAAGATAAACCTATGGCTCCCGGGGGCGGGGCTAATTTTGACACAAGAGGCAAAATTTGAACAACTTTGGTAGAGTACCTTTAGATGATATTATTTAACAAATATTAAAGCTCTAAGCCTTTTACCTTCAGACAATAAGATTTTTTTATTTTTTACTATATGTATATATTGAAATCAATGACCCACAGGGCGGGGGCAATTTTGACCCCAGGGCTATAATTTGAACAATCTTGCTAGAGGTTTACAACACAATGTTTCATGCAAAATATCTAACCTCTAGCATTTGTCAATTGCTGGAAGAATTTTTTTTTAATTTTTACTATATACATATAAGGAAAACCAGTGACCCCTGGGGTGGGGCCATTTTTGACCCCAGGGCTATGATTTGAACAATTTGGGTAGAGGTCTACCAGACAATGCCACAAAATATATAAGCTCTAGGCCTTTTGGGTCTTTTAAGTTTTTACTATATGTACATATCGCGAAAATCAATGACCCCGGTGCGGGGCCGATTTTGACCCAAGGGCTATAACTTGAACAATCTTGGTAAGGGTCTACCAGATGATGCCTTATGCAAAATATCTAAGCTCTAGGTCTTTTGGGTCTTTACAAGAAGATTTTTTTAATTTATTCTTATAATTCCTTTTGGTTGCCATTTCAACCAGATTTCTGCATGGAATGAAATTCTTTGAACAACTTTGGAAGCCCTTCACCCAAGGAACAATCCTGCCAAGTTAGGTTGAAATTGGACTAGTGGTTTTTCACAAGAAGATTTTTTAAGTTCACTATATATATAACACACACAAACACACACACACATACACACAGATGAATCGCTATATGCCACCGCATAGCAGATGCTGCGGTGGCATAAAAACATCAGACAACTATACTAGTCTACAGAGCTGGTTTATGATATATGATAGTTCAACTAATAACCCTGCAAAAAACCTTACAAATTGAAATTTTAAAAAAATGTAGCAACTAGGGAGATTTGAAACTCATCTTACCAAACCATTCCTTAAATTCCACCTGTGATTGTAAAATTTCTGTCATCCTATCGAAGAACTCTAGTATTTTATCCTGTTTGTTGTTTTGCGACGCATTTACAAGGTAGTATTTAAGTAATCCCACCTCCAACTTCCGTACACTGCTCATATACCTCTGCTCTAGGCGAGCAAATAATCGGCTGTTTAGGAAGTTCCAATAATCCCTCAGGTTTGGCAAGTCATAACTTGAGACATAATTCTGTAGCTGCTCCACTATCTTATCTACCTGAATTTAGAAGAAAGTTACATGAATACAGGATATTGAATGAGTGTAAATTCAATACTGAATTTATTGAAAAAGTTGATTAAAGTTATATTATGGGAGCATGGGAGCCACTGGGCAGATATTTCAAAATCCAAATATATAGAAGCAGCAAATGCACCTTTCAATAAAGACAAAAAATTAAGAACATCAATGTTCTATCCATTCAATATTCTGTTGGGTCAGTCCTTTGGTATGTCAATCTTTCAACTTGTACACAACATGGACCTTGAACAGTGTCCATATAATTACAGCAATACTGTAATTATATGGACACTGTCTGTCGATCTTTCATTCTTTGTAACATTTTTGGTTATTGATTAACTTAGTATTCTTTAAATATTAAATTATTCTAAGAGATATGTTTTTACCAAAGAAAAAGTTAACTTTCAACACCTGATAGTGTAAAAGCACCTTGTGTTGTGTTAATATTTTATGTCTAAAAAAAAAGAATGCAGAATGAAAACATTTAGTGGTGTTCAACTTACAAATATATCCGAAAGCTTCAAGAAACAAAGTGTTTCCTTAAAAAAAAGCATGGCAAATTTTTTCTTACCCTGAATCCTTTTTCCTTTTCATTTCTCAATTCAATTTCAAGTGTTTTAAGAGTAGTCGACAAGCCTCTATATATTAAATAATCTTTAACAAATTCGTCTACCCTCCCAACAGCAGTCGCCATTTTGAACAGGAATTCAAGAGCCTAAAATCGATACTGTACTGTAGCGCTACTACGGAGACTTACCATAATTTACAGTATCTTATTTATGTCTCAGATAGAGCAAATTACACAATATCGTCACCAACAACCGTTCACTGTATACAAAGTTGAGTTTGAGAAAAGAATACTGTAAACAGACATTTTAGCAGAGGTATGATTAGGCAACTTCCTAGCTGGTAGTTAAGTTATCACTTGTGTTTGCTAAACTTAAAACTTGTAGCAAGTAAAACTTGTTAACCAGATAACAAAATACAGTAAAATAAAACATTTTCTGAAAGCTTATACATTTGTCTTTGGCTGCAGGTAAAAATATTTACAGTTCCCATCTAAATAAATTGATACATCAATTTTTAAGAGAACTACAAAAATGTTCTTATTAACTTTTGTTTGTATATGACGAAAAACTGACTGAATATGTAAATCTATGTTTTGCTACGTTAAAGACATAGATAGAAAACTATCAATATTTAAACATGTACTAATAGATAAAATGTTTAACATTCAAGTGGTGTACTGTATACTATAAAAGTACCAAATAATACAAATTTATATACATGTACATCCATCCATTAAGTTTAACTAGCTACAACATGCCTATTTTATAGTCAGTGGAGAATATAGGAGCTGCTTGTCTCTGTTATCTTCATCTTTGATTTAAAAAAATTCATTTTGCGTCCTTCAAAGTCTCTAATTATCCTGATATCAGATAATGTTCATTTTCAGGTTTTAACTTTCTCTCACACTACTTACTTAAATTTAGAGGTGTACTATTCCTGCATATAATACTAACGGGATGGATTGGCAGTTGTGTAGGTGTAAAGTGGTTCTTAGTGATTTATATGTAATAGTGATCAGGTTCTAATCGAGAATCAATGCTTTACACGGAGACCAAACGACCACAAATTATAACTGGAGTAAATTCTCAGGGCTCAGTAGATTTATATTATAAAGTGTCTCTATATAAAGATGATGGACTAAACAACAACAACTAGTAAATTCAATTTCAATAAATGCTTTTAATATATGAAAAGCCCTTACAAATTTAATGAGTATACTAATCGAATTATATTTAGTTATATATTAAGAATAACTATATTTATTAGTAAATTAAGATTATGTTTATGATATATTTTATATGTGGTCGATTATAATAAACGTATATTGAAGAGGTCATCAGACCTCTCTCCACAGTGTTCAGACTGATTGCTGGCGGCATCCATTTTTGCGTATCTGATTGTAGTGAACGAATCTCATTTAAAGCGTAAAATCATTAGGAGCAGTCTACAAAAATTGTTTTGCGCATGCTCCGTTTCAAAATACGAAATAACTTAAACGAAAAATTAACATCGAAGTGAACAAATCGGTACATAGAAAAATCGGAAAATATCTTTTACGTTACCTAGCGCTACGTGGATGTTTCATTCCGTTTTAATCTTTCATATTGTATAAATCGATTACCGTATTGTTTTCTGAATAGTGTTTTACTATTTCGTGTTCCGATAAAAAATAACAGTGAACATTACAGGTACAATATCACCATGCACTATTATATGACCGAGTGAACCATGTACCGAAATTGTGCTGCTCCTTAAACATTTGAACCGGTATGACTAACTTACGCAACGGATATTTTTTGGCTCAAATGGCGCAAACTTTACTCAAGATTTTCCTGAAATATTCTGTAATTCAGAGCATGCAGCTTTATATATCAAATGTTATAAACATTTTTTATGTAAATATTGCACTTAAAATTGTTTGATTAACAAACTTTATGCCCGTTAAATAATTGTAATTTATAACCATTCATTGTGTCGTTTATGCAAAAATATACCGAAATATTTTCGAATTAAAAAAATCTTCTACAGCAGCAAAAAGACCTCTCGCATGCTTCTTTTAAAGAAGCAAACTTGTACAGCTATATTTGGGTTCCAGTCGGCAGTCGCCGTTTCTACAGTAAGGCTAGTGAAGTAAGAGAGTTGTTAAAGGGACACCACTTCAAGTATTTTGTGAGTTGTTAAAGGGACACCACTTCAAGTATTTTGTGATAAAAATTAGAACGAAGATGTCGGGGTCAGTTCGCCTTGCTTTAATACAGTTAGCTGTTTCTGCTTCGAAATCAGACAATCTCGCACGTGCAGCTCGTTTAATCAAAGAAGCTGCTTCAAAAGGAGCCAATATTGTTGCTTTTACCCAGTGCTTTATTTTCCCCCTTTTGGGACAGCTATTTTTCCCCCAAATTGCGAAACCTATTCCGGGGCCCTCAACGGAGCACTCGTTGGGCGGGTAAGGGGAACAATATCTACCTTATTGGTGGTTTGATTCCGAAAAAGACGGCGGGAAAATATATAAAAACGTGCACCGTTATATCCAAAAAGGGACTTGATTGCAAAACAAGGGAAAATACATTTGTTTTCATTGACTCCCGGAAAAATTAAAAATTTTAAAAAATGGAAAAAGCTGCCCTGGAAAATTTGCTTCTTTGACACTCCGTTATGTCGAATTGGAATTGGAATTTGTTACGATATCAGGTTTGCTGAGATGGCTCAAATTTACGCGAAAAATGGATGCAAATTATTGATATATCCCGGTGCCTTTAACATGACCACCGGACCTGCTCATTGGGAACTGCTTACCCGCGCACGTGCGTTAGATAACCAGCTGTACGTAGCTACGGTATCACCCGCACGGGACGAAAACGCTTCATACGTGGCATGGGGTCATAGCAGTGCAGTAAGTCCATGGGGAGAAGTGGTTGCTACGACTGGTCATGAAGAAAATATTGTGTACGCGGACATCGATTTGGGACTGGTTGACCAAATAAGGGGACAAATTCCAATATCAGTGCAAAGAAGAAACGACTTGTATGAAGTTGAAGAAAAGAAAAATGAATGAAAACCATAGTGCAACTGTGTTTATAGTTAACAACTTCGAAACTTTGGATTCTATCTGAAACATTTTTTAATATTTTGAGAAAGAACTAACTTATGTTCATGCTATTTGTAAATATAGTACCATTCACATAATTATGGTAAATTATCTCAAATTTCTTATGCGAAAATAAACAATTGAATTTGTATTGTAATTTACATGCTGATACTTTTTTAATTTATGCACACATATCTATTTTAAGCAGTAAAACATAAAGATGTAACCAGTTTTCGCTGCTTAGTGTGTTTGCTGTTATTTGCGTGCCATTGTTAATCAGTGTTTTATAAATATTTTTTGTTGTTATAAAATCACTGAAGGATTAAATTGGGAAATATTTGATATTCTTTTCTTTCTTATGACGATACTGGCATAGATCACGTTTTAAACGATGAGGAATGACCACTGGGAGGGGGCAAACTGTGGTTAAACATGTCTGCCTTTTAATCCAGCAATATTATTGTACGGCGTTTGAGTTTTGATGCAGTTTTGCAGTGTTACCCCAGCGCTGAAATGTTCTGTCTATATAATCCAGGCTCTTGTTTTACTATCAAAGTCTGGGAATAGTCGAGCACGCTGTCCCACCAACAACTATTGTTAAAATATATTGCGCTGTATACAAGTAGATAAGAGGTTGCAATCTATTGTTTGAGCATCCTTAAGTCTTCCCAACGGTTGTGCACATCGCTGATAAGGCACGGGACATCGACAGACGTCCAATATGGCCAATGTTCGCATAGTCGCTACAGCTCGTTTAAGGAGGCACGGCTAACTTCATATGGCGTTAGCTGCTGGTGTCTTGAATAAAGCCTTTTTTCAGGACTACCTCAGATTACTGTGCATTTAGGTTCTCATTGCTTGCCGTTTTAAAGCACCGTAGAGTGACATTCTTTTAACTAAAAAGTCATAAATTTGCTAATTCTCCGTGAAAATTGCATGGAGGTAAATTATCGCCTCTGTGCTTTAAAATTAACCCTAATGATTAACCCTAATGGCATACTAGGGGATTTTGGGGCCTGTACTCATTTCAAAGGGGGCTTTTGTGGGGAAAGGATCCTAATAATCAAAGACTAATACATGTACATAATACATACATATTTGGGGCACCCCCAAACGTAAAGTTATGGCCTTCACCCTTTCCCAAAAAGGAAAAGATTTCCTTAAATTTATCATGTCCCTATAAAAATTAATCGAGATTCAATGTTTAGTAGTTTTATACATTAAAAAACGGTATTCAAATTATTCATAGATAAGAGCAGTGTGCACATGAATACACAACAAATGTACATAAAAGTGACTTGTAATACATTAAATATTACCATATCTCTACTAGAAGAGACCTGTAATAATGTATCGCTGAAATATTAGCAGCCGTGGTGAATTTACATAAATTTAAGTTGTAAATTTCTAGGTCGTATATTCAATCTTAGTGTCACTGCGATGGATTCTAGATAAAATTATGATTCGTGTTAAAATAAAAGTCATAAGAAATATATTATAGAATCGATTAAAAAAAACAAAGATATATTTTTCCTTATTTTAATCTGACTAGAGTTTAGTTATACTTATTTCTAAATGTGTAGCGTTATTTAGTTGCTGATTTTAATCAGGTTGATATTTTTCAGATATAAGAATTAATTAAGTGTCATCTACAGGTCTGCTTAAACATCTGCTGAACACAAGATATATGACCTATACTGTGTCGATGTGACGTAAAACCCAAAACAAAACAAAACAAGAACACAAGATATAAAAACCGACGTTGAAAACTGAAGGAATAATAATCAATCTTCTAACATCGCCATGCAGGCATACGTTTTTTTTTGTTGTTTTTTTCTTCGTTGTTTTTCTCGGCACACACTTTACCGGGACATATTTTACTACGATTTCTCCTGTCACCATCACTTAAAATTTTCTTCCAAAACCCTTTTATCGGCGTTTCGCATGACGTCATCCCAGACGAAAGTTGAAGTCTAATAAAATTACACAAAGTTTTTTTCATATGATTTATTCTGACTAAAAAGATAAATTCTAAAGGAGTACATGTACATATTCGAATCATTCATATTTTTGAATAAATGGTAGTTTTTGGAAGAAAGGAAATGCTTTTATAGCTGTGGCTATATATGGAAGATTATAATTGTCGTCTGCCGATATTGTGTAAAACTTATCTCCTACATCATGATGTCGGCTGCGGAAACCCCTCTCCTCCTTAGTTCCTGGAAATAATAGTACATGTATAAGAATTTGTGAACAAGTACATCACAATACAATCTTGGTCATTTGTCGGCGGACGGTCCACTTAATTAACCGGCTTTCTTATAACAATGTGGTCCACTTAACCGGCTTTCTTATAACAATGAGGTCCACTTAACCGGCTTTCATATATCAATGTGGTCCACTAAACCGGCTTTCTTATAACAAAATGTGGCCCACTTAACCGGCTTTCATATATCAATGTGGTCCACTTAACCGGCTTTCTTATAACAAAATGTGGTCCACTTAACCGGCTTTCTTATAACAATGTGGTCTATTTAACCGGCTTTCTTATAACAATGTGGTCCACTTAACCGGCTTTCTTATAACAAAATGTGGTCCACTTAACCGGCTTTCTTATAACAATGTGGTCCACTTAACCTGCTTTCTTATAACAATGTACCAGGTTTTTGCAAATGACCGATAACTAATCTCACACGATATCTGATTACAAATGACCACAATTTTCCAAATCAAATCTCCGGAGAAATTATAATTCGGCTGGAGATCGCACCCTTGAATAACAAAGTCGGTATTTATTGGATTGACTTGTATTAGATGCTGCATGTCTGTATGGAAGACCACGAAAGTATCTCAAGTAGATGAGTGTTATGTACATGATGTTGGCAATCTTATATATAATAAATGATCAGTTAACTTGGATTCAATACTCTATACTCATTATGAAATTTCAGTAGAAAGTCGACATAAATACCTCTTATGGTATTGTCTAATATGGCTGCTGCAAGCCCTCCTAAAAACATTGGTGTCCCTAGCATACCTTTAACAATACCATCAGATGTGCTGTTACCTGAAATACATTGTATGGTACATGTATTGAGCATTTGTAACCATGTACACGCCCATCCCGCGGGGAGTTGTTAGGTGTAATTGATTAACTCTGACTTTCAGAGTAAAGGCCCTGCAGTGGCAGATACTTAAATTACCAGCACATGCCATACGGCCACAAGCACCGCCATTTGAAAATATATATTGGCTGTTTAAAAAGTATCTTAATATTGATCACCTACTTTTTATTTGTTAAGAATGAACGACTGTCTTTGAATACATATGAGCCTAGTCACGACAAAACCAACATAATGGGTTTGCGACCAGCATGGATCCAGACCCGCAGTCTGATCAGGTTCCATGCTGTTCGCTTACAAAGCCTATAGCAAGTAGAGAAACTGATAGCAAACGGCATGGATCCTGATCAGACTGTTAAAATATGTATTTGAATTACCCGTATTTATAGCCTCCGGGTACCGTTCTACCCATTCCGGAATAACAATCCCTGTGTATAGAGATAATCCGAACACCGCTAAATTTCGGGATGACGTCAAATCGACAGATCGCAATGAGAATATTCCTATAGCCCCGAGTATTCCGAATGTAACAAACATGGCGCCACCTATAGCAGGATCGGGCATAGTGGAAAGCACCGCCCCAAATTTGCTGATTAAAGACAAAGCTAGGCACAATATCCCTGTCGTGATCATACATGATCTACTAGCGACCTAAAAAATAAAGAAAGTGTTTAAACATTTTAGCCATCGTTGAATTCGTTGAAGTTCCAAAATGTTATATTCAATACAAAAAGCTCTTCCAAACTTTAATAGCGAACACTTACAAAAGTCCCAAATACAAATGTAAATGATATATGACATTCTGCGGCGACAATATACCTTACTAATACCAATTAATGAAACATGTGAGGTTGATGACGTTGTTGCATGACCCGCCCCTAAAGTTCCCGAAATTAGGCTTCCCAAACCCTCGAGGAGAATGGCACGGTTAATGGCGTGAGTTGGAGGTGGCGGTGATCTTGATACATATGCCGTGGCGTAATAATCACCAATAGATTCCATGATTGATGAAATTACAGCAGACAGGAAACCAACAAATATGGTCGAGTTGAACAAAGGTGACCCAAACTGACCTAAAATAGAAAAAAGGGCGATCTAGATCAACAATTAAAATATCAAACTTTTATGCCCAGCTGAAATGAAACTTTTGTAAGTTAAAGTCATTACATTGATGAATTTATCACCAAATAAATACAAATATTACCACATCATTAAACAAAAAGACTTTAATTCGATAAAGCAAAGAGTTAAGCTATTAAAAACATGTTCCAGAATAACCTTAAAAAATCACAAAGCAATAGATACCCGGATATGGTACATAGAACCATGGTGATGCAAATATAATCTCATTTCTGACGTCAGTTCGAGCCCGGTAAGAGAGACGGTCCGGGTCGTCCGGAAACACACCGGAGGCGGTAAGAATCCCGCATAACAACCATGTGATCAAAATGCCCAGCAATATCTGAAGTGTAGGTTACATATATTATGTGGTGTACGGACATAATCCCCTTCGGACAAAATCCCCTTTATGTATTTTTGTATATCCGGACATAATCCCCTTCATGGCTGGACATAATCCCCTTCATGTGTGAAATTTTGAAGTGGACAAAATCCCCTTCATAAAATTGCTACCTAGGACAAAATCCCCCTCAGAGAAATTTTCGTTTTTTAAGTGGGTATGAGAGCCACATACTGCATTATGCTGTGTAGTAAATATCTTAAAGTATAAATGAGTAGAAAATATTTCAGCAGAAAAGCACATTCAATTAGCAAAATTTAAATCACATTAAAATTGCTTTGTTAAAGCATTCATAACAATCAATCAAGTAGTGCAGTGATCTTGGTTTGATTAAATTATCACTCTTTCATCAATAGAAAGTGTAACAATGGATAGTATCTATCAATTAGAATTATCAACTTATACAATCAATGAAACAATTATTGGCTAATAAAAATGTTTTTCATACTAATCAATTTAAAACTATTAAAGAATTTGCCTAATCAAATATGTGTTATGCAGTTGATAATTTACCATAATTTTAATGAAAACTTCTAATCTAAATAAAGGTAACTATTGATACATAATTATAAATAAAAAAACAAAAGTTCATTATTCATCAATTTTTAGGGAGTATAATAATACATTATTCATCAATTTTTATGGAGCATAATAATACATTAGAAACCTATGAAACAAGGGGATTTTGTCTGGGTAGTGAAGGGGATTTTGTCCAGCCTTGCAAAAAAATGAAGGGGATTATGTCCACCCATGAAGGGGATTTTGTCCGGGTAGGTGAAGGGGATTTTGTCCGAAGGGGATTATGTCTGACATTCATATTATGTAATTCATCGACAAAAAATGATAATTAATGTTTCGCACTGAGACCCAAAAGCCTGCATACATAAATTTTGAAATTCTTACATAGATAAACAGTTTCACTTAAAATGGAAACAATGCAAGAGATAATATAGTTATAAGCTCAGCATTATTTGAAAATCGATATTTGTGTTCAGTTTGAGTTAAACGTGGTAACACTTTTCATCTTTCGCTATAAAAATTAATATTCAGGAAAAAGAAGTGAGTGAATAATCTGAAATTTTGCACGGAAATTATTGGTCAAGACCTTCATAAATTTAAATAAAACAATTTCAAGAGTCTTCATGTCTAAAAACTTCAATGGAGTCCCTTTAAACTATCAATATGATTAAGTCATTGAGAATACAGGTCTGTTATTGTAGCACAGCGCATTCTTGGAGTACATACTTCTGCAGTTAAATCTTTTTTAAAACTTAACATCAAAATGAATAAGATAATCGGCATTTACTTAAATGACTACTAAATTAGTTCGTTAAATCATTTTTGATTGTATATAAAGTAAAGAAGTTATGTAGCACTAAATTCGGTTTCTTAAATACAATGCATGCAGTTCATCTCCAAAATATGAACACGTCTACAAGTACATGCAATATATTATTATACTGGCATTTGAAATGATCGAGGCCGGATGGTTCGGGGTCAGTTGTTACACGTGTAAACTATATTTGATGGACTAATTTAAATTTGAAAACGACAGCTTCGTACAATTTAGAGTAAGAATTTAGTTATAAATAGGCATGAATGATGAAATTCAAATTTAAAAAAACAACAACAACATCAAGACGGTCACATATATAATTTACTAAACTTACTCACCGGAAACATCTGAAATATTGACACTTTATTTCCTTTACTTTTCTTTGACGCACAAAACGGTGGACATGGAATAGCTACACGACCAAAGTATAGCATAAACAAAATTATTAGAATTATGCATCTGAAAAGAAAAAAAGATAAGTTATACATACGTATGATAAGTCTGATAATGAAATTATATAAAGAAAAAAATGTAAGAATTATGATTCGTCTAACAATATTACTAATATGAAATTATGTATATTTCGCCTGTTTATGCCGATGGAGCCCCTTTTTCCTGTCATTGATAGAAATATATGGATAGTTGGATACCGATTTTATTTATTTATTTATTTCATTACTGGTACCCTTTGCTTTTGGTCAATATCTGAAGTCACGTGACAGAACTTCTTATAATGTGTATATTACTTCCAACAAGATTATGAATAATCGTCACCCACAAATCGAAAACAATCCGGAACACCTGGACGATTTTTCAAAATCATCTCGGAAATAATATGGATTGAAAGTACTTCCTGTTATGTATTTTTTTTGTAATTCGTTCTGCAATTTTGTTATGCGACTTTTTGAAGAATGCCCATTGAAATGCCATTATACCATGTTCGAAAAACCATCAACATGTTTACATTTTGTACTTTCGGTTCTCTTAACGTTACAACATTACAATTGGTATAAAAATAATGTACTTTTATTTATAAATTTACAAAAATTAAGTCGACTTTTACACGAAATAATGAAATAAAAGAAGCTAACATAAATAACAAACATAGAATTTATTTACTAATTGTTTACATAAATTATTTATTTGTTTTTGAAGCGTAAGTAAATCTGAATGTCATATCCGCCTCTATCTGATCTCCTCGGCTATAATGCTTTAAAATAAACCTCTGGCATAATATGGGGACACTATGGGACTATTTTCAGAAACATGGTAGAATCGCGGACTTCATGTGCCACCTTTTTGGCAACAGTAATATAGATATGCCATATATTTCTGGCAATGACAGGTAAAAAGGTGCTCCATCGAAATTAAAAGGCGGAATATACATAATTTCATACTAGTAATATTGTTAGACGAATCATAATTCTTACATTTTCGATTTGTGGGCGATCAGAACACGTGTTTCTTTTATGCAGTGGAAGAAAGAATAAAAGATATATTTTAAAACAGTCAACTTCTTAATTAGATATAAACCACATTTGCTGAAGTTGTAGAAGAAAGTTTCCTTCTTTCTTTCTTTCTTTCTCGCGAACGAACACTGCCTTGTAACTTAAGCGAACTTCGTTGGTGTATTCGTGTTCTACGAACAAGGCCTCTTATCCGATAAATACTGGAACAGCGGATGTTTTACGATTGTTACGATTGATATAACAAAAAGAAAGCAGAATAAAAGCAAAGAAAGATATATAACAGAAAAAAGAAGAAGAAAAAAGGAAGAAATGTGTCCATAGAACACCAATGTCTTCACATTCTACGATGGACAGAAAGCATGAATTACTACCAAGACAACAGTCGGACGGTTAATAGTAATTCTATCCTTCTCCCTAGGGGCACAAAGACAAAAAAGGGGGGAAAAGAATAAAAGAACAAAAATACACTTACACTGATGACAAGCCCCAGTGGGTTCGAATATATATCATTGGTATTTTATACAAAGACAACCCAATTAAAGATATGACAACCGATATTGTTAAAGGTCCGATAAACCTAAGTAATATGCCGACAATTCCTGTAAACCCGACAAACACTTCAAATAAAGATGCATAGATAAGGCATCCCATCATCTGAAAATAGATTTCAATATTTTATTCATTCATCAAGCATATAGTAGGCAGTGCATATGAAAACAAATATAAAGCCTATAAATTTGAAAGTTTCCCATACAAATTTGTACAGAAATAAAACACTTGCGACCATTTTCATTTTCGAATCGAGCAATATTTGTCTTGAAATGATGCCGGAAATGACGTCAAGGTCACGTGGTATTGCTACACTGAACATAAGTTGACGATAAACGAGAATTGTTTTACAAAATAATGGATTACTACAAATACCAAATATACTAGGAAAGATATCAACAGTAAGAAACTGTTTTATGGTGTTCGTAATAACGTTGTAAAATAAATAATGCAAATTTGGTTAATTTTGCTTTGTTGTTATAATTCATGAGCTGATCTTATTTGAAAGCACTTGAATGACGTTAATAATACTTATCAACATATCTATTGCAATCATTAAAATGAACACACCCCAAAAGATACAATCACATTTTTATCACAAAAAGTACATATCCTTAAGTGTCGCTGGGTTCAATTAAAAAGAATGAGCAAAGTTTGCCGGTGATAGCCGAAAAGTAGCGAGTATCATGATTGATTTGTCACAAATCTTTGTAACGTACATGAATCTAAAATACCTTCAAATTCCTTTCTTTGAAGAAAAATAAAAAAAAGTACATTGACAGCCATTGAGACAAACTCTATTGCATTCCTAAAAATAGTTTGCTATAAATGGAGAAAGGGAGAGAAAAGTAACCCTGTTTTACATGAAGTTGTACAATATACACTATTGTCCAGAATTCAACAAAAGTGGGTTTTTTTCCGATGTGTCCTGGTATTAGCTAGGAGAAAAACCCTCATTTGCCGATTTCCGGAGTATCTCTGTTATACAAAAGGACACACAAAATAACTTGTTTATTATTTACACCTCCCGAAGTTTGAAGTACATCTCATCGTCTGCTGAGGATTCTAACAAAGAACTGTTTCCACTACCCGACATATTGTAAGATGCAACACCGGCCCCTGTCAACAACAACAAAAAAAGAGAATGACTTATAAATAAAAATACAAAAAATGCTATGTCGAACACGTGTTCAGAATTAAACACTTCAATGAAATACGTATTTGACTATCTTGAAATAGGCCTTCGGTTTGAGTCAATAGAACACTATTCCATATATAGGCTTTCAGCATCGGGTTCGTAATCCAGAGGTCTCTAGTCCGACCCTCTGGCAAGACGATCTCGAACATCGAGTCCTATGGTCATTTGTCTATTACATGTATATTGAAAACAATACAAGTTTGACTCTTGTGTCAATAGAGAAAATAAGAATCTCAAAAGAAAGTCCAAAATGGCAAAATTTAAAATGTAGTAGTCTCGGTTTAATGGACGGCTGTAATGTACAAACTACCGTCCACACCCCAAAACATTAAAGGAACAAATGAGGTGGCTCGGGATGATGACTGTTAAGTTATCCAGGGACACCGGTTAGATGGACTGACCGCCGAGCATGTGTCGAAACCAGCAAATAAACCGACAGACAGGCAGAATCGCTGTACATGTATATACTGTAGAAATAAAAACAGAACAACAGGTCTACCGAATTAAGGAGTGTACTACAGTTCTGTACCATTGTGAGAGTAAATATACCAAGCACACACGTACCCTTTCTGAACAAGTTGTCGCATTGCCATCGACTGTCGCTTCTCATTGCCATTAATGGAATCAGAAAGGTGGAACACACCCCTTGAAAAATGGACAATCTGAAAATGGAAGATAGAGAATCCAAAATCTAATATGAACAACACACAATTCAAAACGAAAGAATTATAATTTATTATAAGAATTATACATGTACATGGACAATTTAGGAATTATACATGGACATTTTCAAGAATTATACATGGATATTTTAGTAATCAAATATAAACAACTTAAGAATATGGAATAATAATCTGAGTAATAAAGATGGACAACCTGAAAAAATAATGAATAGTATAAAGGAAATTTAAAAAAAGAACTTTGGAAACGCACAAAATGTGTACGAAAAAAAATTTCAAAAATGTATCTATACCACCAAAAGGTTTTCGGTTGTAAAAACATTTTAAACCAAACATGCGGTTTAAAGCAGCACACCCTCAAAAAATTTTTGAAAATGTTTTAAAAAAAAATTTGCGAAAAGAACGAAGAAAATAGTCATTCAAACTGCAAACGGCACCTACAGCCAATAAAAATTCCAAAAGAGGTCAAAATATGCATAGATTGCCCTTACGGCGTTAGTAATGCAGTAGAAAGATAGTAAAAAATACTACAAAATTGGTCATAAATGGCACATAACATGAACATTATTACATATTATATTATTATATAAAAAAAAAAACATCTGTTAATTAATGTTATACCGTATTCCAATCAAGGGTTGAAGTGTCGTACATATCCCTGTCATGAACAATGATGTACAGAACAGCTTTGCTCTGATTGGATGATCAGGTGCGGCACAAATGACGTCGGAAATGACGTAAGCAGTTGTCAAAGCCCCGCCCAACCCTAACAAAATATTCTAAAAAGACAAAAGTTAAAGATATTGTTAGAGACATGTATGACAGTCAAATGACTTACGTAAAAAATAAACATCGAAATCTCTTAAAATCCTTTGGCATTTATTTCTGTTTTAAGTGTCCCAGCTGATCTATGTAAAAGAAATTAAATTTTATATTTTAGGCTTTTCGACCTCGGCGGAGTCCCTTTAACCTGCCGAAATGATAAGCATTTTTTCAGTATATATAGTCAGACTAGACCAAGTTATATAATGGTACTATTTTTTTCACGGCGTTGTTTTATATCATTTGGTCATTTATTTTTAAAATATGTTACTTTGGGGATTACTTAAGATTCAAGTGTAGTGAAGACGAATAAATTTATGCTGAAATTATCATTGAATTCTAAAATTCATTGAATTCATTTAGACCACGAATGGACGTAATTGAAATATCAATTTATTTGCAGCTGTTTATTATATCTTTATAAATAATGCTTTTTGGAACCTAAACTATTGATAAATCTTCATTTGAGCATCATATTTAATTATGATTTAAAACCATAAAAAATTGTTTGACAGGATCTTTAACTTAAAATCTTAATAACAGTTACCTTTAGTTACACACAACAACAAAAAGAAAAAATCAACAAACAAACGATAATTGTGTTGTTTAAAAAAAGCGACGTAACTTTACTGAATTCGCCGTTACTATGTTGTAATGATTTTGTTAATGATTGTATTTTGACTATATTCATCAAACAAGTCGTAGGTGTAAACGTTATTATTTAATTTTAATATATTTATATGAGCCGCGTCACGACAAAACCAACATAATGGGTTTGCGACCAGCATGGATCCAGACCAGCCTGCTCCTCCGCTGTTCGCTATCAGTTTCTCTACTTGTTATAGGGTTTGTAAGCGAACAGCGTGTATCCTGATCAGACTGCGCGGATGCGCAGGCTGTTCTGGATCAATGCTGGTCGCAAACCCATTATTTTGGTTTTGTCGTGACGCGGTTCTTTTTGAATAAATCGTGTGGTAACATTGTTTCCTGAAATGCACTCGTGCAGTGTCATTCCCTATATAAAAAAAACTTTGTTTAAAATAATTGAGTACCTGCATAGCTACGGAAAACAGTATTGCTACCGGCGGAACTTCATTTACGTTGTATAGCAACGGGTTGTCAACAAACTCTTCAGTTTCAATGTCGTCTGCGGCAGGGTTTTCAGTACCGTCTGCTGAAAAGTGTTCGGTGTCGTCTGCTAGAGGGTTTGTAGTGTCGTCTCCTTTTATTCTTTCACTTTCATTTGTTGTGCCAGTTTTTATTGTACTCATATCAATGCTTAGATCTGCACAGTGACAGTCATCCGAATTATTTTCTTTATTTACACGATCCATGCTTGATCTTATACAATATATCGCATAATTAACATCAGTTCAAACTGCAAATTAAAATTTGAAAGTCACTGGCAATTCAAAATTAACTAATGCGCAAATAGTATGAACATGAATAGATTTTCCCGAATTGCAATGAGCAAATTATTTTCTCTTTCCCGTCATGAACTGAACCAAGTCTACATTCTTTTCCCTAGTCACTCTTTGTTAAATAAGATACAGTCGAAACCTTTAAAATAACAGTTATATATAATTATAAGTGCCATCAGCACTGTCCTGTTTTACTGTACCTTCTTACATAGTAAGACAAATTGTGGCATCTTTATTCTTAAAGGCAAACGCGACCTTCATTTGTAAAGTTGCTGACCGCTCCTGTATAAACTTAAGGTTGAAGTCTATTCTTACCATGCTTAATTACCAAATTATACTACTTTCGTTCTATGGCACGCGCTCATTTCACTAATTTATGCGTAAACACGCCCATATCATTGTGTATGCGCTTATTCATCTACATTATGCGAGAACATATTCCTTCCTCACGGACTTTGTTCAATGCCGACCATTTTACATCTATACTGGAACAGTTTGATTGATAGTATGTCATATGTTGCTGTTCTGATCGAATTTCCGTCCCGAAGCTACCCGCCCATTGGAGCGGTGACGTGTCTTGTAGAAAAATAATACAATATAATAACTAAACAATTATTGCATATATTCAAAACACAATGAGAAACAAGAACAAAACTTGCTTTTTTTTATTAACTTTTAATTTTAAACATAATATGTTACAATGGAATTCGTTACGAATCAGAAAAATGAAAATTGTGAGATCAAGTTATTAGTATTAACTATTAAGTTGTGATTTACATGGTAATCTGAATTTTGGAAATCCCTTGTTTCTTTGCTGAATTTACAAAAAAATCACAATAAAAATTGACAATAAATTTACAAAATAACAAAATTATTTATTTATATTTATTTTATTTCGTTTAATCGGTCATAGAACTGACCGGGTATATATATATATCGTACCTTCATTACCACCATAAGATACTACAAGGCACATTATGCCTCTAAAATGAATATGTTTTTCTTCTGAAGAAAAAGGCATACACGTTGTAATTAATGATTTAGAACACGTGTGATGCTAAATACACGAAGCAAATAGCGCTGAGTGTGAAATAATTTGTGAAAAATGCAAACAAAGCGGTATTTTGATTTCCATACACCATTCTAAATTACTATAACAGTACAAATTGCCAAAACACAAAAGAAACCAATGACGTTTCAGGTTTATGACCAATGAGTATATGAACTATAACAGACCACCTAAAATAAAGAGCTTTAATTTAAAGCCACATTATGCTTAGAAATGCATTTTGTTTTTTAATTCTTAATAATTAACAAACATTTGTTTAATAATGTTTAAATAATGGATTTTGGGCATGTTACATAGGAAGAAGTGCTGAACGTGCAGTACTGTGTCAGAAAATTAGAAAATACAAACAAAGAAGTATTTCAAAATGTAAATAAAGTAGTATTTTGACTTCCATGCAAAATACTAATTCACTATAATTATACCAATTACCAAGCAAGCAAAATAAGCTAAAAGATTAAAATTCAAGTTTATTTATGTGGCATATGATTTAATTTTTAGAAACTGTAAAATAATACAAAAAATAAACTTTTTGATACCATTTCCGAGGCATAATGGACCTTTAAAAATAAAAATCATAGCATTTTTAAGCTAACTTAGACATCAATAAACAGATAAATTCATATAATGTCAATTTTATTTCATCCAAGCTAACTTATGTACAAAAATAGCACTGATTTTTATTTAAATGATGTCCAAATGACAACAAAAATTACAGAAGATTTTCTTTATGTGAAAATAAATTTAATGAGCGTAAAAATGAAAGCCGCATGCTCAAATTTACTGATTGTTTACAAAAGAAACAGAAAATGTTGAAAAAATATATATAAACGTTAAATAGCAAGTAAATATAATACATTTAGATAATACTGAAAGCTGTATACAACTAAGTAAAAACTCAAAGAAATAGATATGGAAAAGTAAACACTATAACTGAAAAGAATACTAAGTATAATTCAATATAAAATGCTACATTGTTGAATACTAAATGCCAAAGATTATACTAAAAAATATACTATTAATTTTTTCTATAAATTTTTCTATCTCATTGTCTATAAAAAATATTCCTTAGTGGGCTTCAAGAGAGGCAATAAACTCACTAACATATTTCTTATGACAGACCAAATTCAAATTGGCCACTGCAAAATATTAACTGAAAGACATAAATGCATGAATACAAAAAAAATAAATTATTATTGTTTGATATTAATTATTACGTTTTTATTATATATTCATTATAAAACAAAATTGTGGACCAATTAGAGACAGAAAAAAGAGCCCTGCATGTGGTGTAAATGCTCGTCATATTCGGGCAACAACTATCGACAAAGTTCAAAAGGGGCGTAACTCTAACAAGAGCTGTCGGTAGGACAGCAACGCTCGACTATTCTTAGTGCTTGATAGTAAAAAAAATGCTTGATAGAGTTACCTCCTCCTGTTTACAGGTTGGGGTCATGATGGTGAACAAGCGTGCAAAGTTTCAAAGCCATATGTCAATGGACTTCGAAATTATTTGAACTATTACAAAAAACTTTAACGTAAATTCTAAGTCAAAAAAGGGGCATAATTCTGTCAAAATGCTTGATAGAGTTACCTCCTCCTGTTTACAGGTTGGGGTCATGATGGTGAACAAGTGTGCAAAGTTTCAAAGCCATATGTCAATGGACTTTGAAAATATTTGAACTATTACAAAAACTTTAACGTAAATTCTAAGTTGAAAAAGGGGCATAATTCTGTCAAAATGCTTGATAGAGTTACCTCCTCCTGTTTCCAGGTTGGGGTCATGCTGGTGAACAAGTGTGCAAAGTTTCAAAGCCATATGTCAATGGACTTTGAAAATATTTGAACTATTACAAAAACTTTAACGTAAATTCTAAGTCGAAAAAGGGGCATAATTCTGTCAAAATGCTTGATAGAGTTACCTCCTCCTGTTTACAGGTTGGGGACATGATGGTGAACAAGTGTGTAAAGTTTCAAAGCCATATGTCAATGGACTTTGAAAATATTTGAACTATTACAAAAACTTTAACGTAAATTCTAAGTCGAAAAAGGGGCATAATTCTGTCAAAATGCTTAATAGAGTTACCTCCTCCTGTTTACAGGTTGGGGTCATGATGGTGAACAAGTGTGTAAAGTTTCAAAGCCATATGTCTATGGACTTTGAAAATATTTGAACTATTACAAAAACTTTAACATAAGTGGTTACGCCGACGCCGACGCTCGGGTGACTGCAATAGCTCTACTTATTCTTATCGAATAGTCGAGCTAAAAATGCAGCTTTCAGAATTGTGCCCCTTGTCTGACAACTGCACATTGTCATGATAAGCAAGAATTCCAAGTTTCATGTTGATATCTTTTCATATGTTTTAAAATGAGCTACATTAAAGTAATTGCAGGACAACAATGAGGCAGTGCTCTCAAAAGCTTGACCAGACGAGCTAAAAAATTAATGCTTAAAATAAACAATTACGTCATTGTTTACAACCAGAAATAGTCATACATATAATCAATAAAAATTAAATATAATTGATAAAAATCGGCGGACAAGTTAACAATTTAATATATCAAGGAACGTTACAATTAGGGTAGATTATCAATTTGTCATGGTTCTACATATCTAAACATTTCTCTTTCACTATACAGTATACATGTAATTACAGCTCCTTACTCTCTTTATTATTATGCTTTAACACTTCACCTGCTGAATTTGTACAATGGATTTGTCCAGCGCTTTGAATTTGGAACATTTCATTTCAGTTTGAATGGATTTAATATCAAAATGCAAAATCTGAGCTAACAGCAGTTTAGAGCCTGATCTCAGACTGCATGGACGTGCTGGCTGGCCTGCCTCTATACTGGTGGCAAAGGCTGACCACCTCAGGTTCAAGCAGGTTTAAGGTTATAATTTTCAAATACTATTCTTTATCCACTGTGTTGTGTAGCACCACAAATCACTCAATCATAAATACTAAAGTGATTTATGAATACATAAAGTAATAGTATTGGTTCAACACAAGTCTGTTTGTTCCATCAATTTCACCACACACATGCTCAATGTTACTGTAATTACTCACAACCATGCAGTTAATATCGCATAACATATGTCTGTTTTACAATGGTCAACAAAAAATAGTAACCTCTATATAAAACATTCTTCATCACTGGCCATTTTGAAATCCACCTTCATCATGTTCACGTTGGACTTATAAAAAGCCAACGAATTCTTTGAAAATGAACCAAAGTTCAATATCTCAAAATCACACTTTTTCATAAATTGTACTCATATCACATAAAAAACACATGAAATTAGTGCTTTTTATCTGACCATAAAAATTTAGTATGTCCGAGCATTCGTGCTAGCTCTTGATTGAATGGTTGGTAAAACTCCTTCAAAAGTGACCTAGTTTTCTCGTGCATTCCGCCTAGAAGTTTATCCTCGGGTTTTCGTGCATTTCTACCAGGTGACGTACACACAAGCTCTTCCTCCTCTTTTGTTACATCCCCTGTTGTTGTGATAAGGTAAAATTTAAATAACATACTTTATTATATACTTATAAATGAAATATTGAGAAATATTGATGAAATAAAATGAGTATTTTAATTTTTCGTATTTTCACTGTCAAAAAATTTATTTTTCACTTCAGTGAAACATATTTTCCGTATTTTCACTGGTGTCTTGCCGGACTACTTTCTTCTTAATTCAGCCTATACACATTTTAAGGGGAATCTTTCAAATTGTAATATCAAAAAGAAAAATGTATATAATATACAAAAAATTTAAGATTTTTTTCTATAAATACACGATTAATTTTCATTTTGTGGTATGAAAATTATATCATTTCACTCGTGGCTACCGCAACTCATGAAATATTCATTTTCATATCACTCGATGAAAATAAATCCTGTATTTATAGAAAAAAACCATGAATATCCTCTATATACATGTCACATAATGAATAACAAATATAAGAGCTAAATACAGATACAGTTCTGCGTATGACTAAGGTAAACATAAATGTATATGTACTATGTACATGTATATGGGACACGGATGCCCAAATATTCCGCTGTTACGTCAGTCGACGGACGGATAGGATGACACTTGGAAAGCGTGACGGACGCGAAGGGGCAAATCTATATACATGTACCTCCAAACTCCTGTTTAAAGACAATATTTAAGAACCTTAAAGCCTCCCTTGTCAACCAATTAAAAAAAATAACTTATCATTTTATTTTCTTCTTCATGTGATGAAAGTTTTTATTTTTATATTTTCTTCTACGGTGACGAAAGTAACAAATCATTACACTTATGTACATATATAATAAATGTATAATTTCTAAAAATAAAGTGTTTAGTATACGTACTTATTTGAAGAAAACGGTAGATTTGTTTGACATATTCCACAGGACGTTTAGAATAATCTTCTAGTCGTAAGACAAAGAACTGTTTCAGGGGAAATAACCGTAACCAGTCCTTGAAATAAACACTGTACATTCCGACCCGGAGTCTTACCTATAATATAACATAAATAATATCTACCATTAGAATATATATGCATGTAAGTTGTAGAAACACATGTCAGTTATCCTGCCAGAATGAAAAGTTATTATTCTCACGAGATTTAAATCTAAATTTCCAAAAAAATATTTTACCTGAAAATAAGACTGTGAAAACAAGTGGAAAAAAAATATCGTTAGCTATTTGTTCAACTGAGTGCAATTTAAGATTGCTATTTATATATTAGCGCGTGTACCCGCTCGTGCAGATTAACGTCATCATGTCATCACTGTTTGTTATATGCAACTTGGCTTACCCTGACTTTGTTGGCTAAATTTGTATCATATACACACTGGCGAACACTGTACAACGATGTACAATTAGAATATAATCTAATAGCTAAATCAACAGCAGAATGGAAGTCGTCTGGTGACTTGTTTGTGGAATGAAAATAGAGGTAATCCGAATACATTCTGAAAAAAAGACAAAAATAATTTAATTATGATTAACTGACTTAATGATTAACCAATTCACTTTAATGTTAAACCTTAAACCTGGAGAAAAAAACTTATATTACTTTATGCATGTTTATGCAAACCTTCTATTCTTATTTCTTAACAAGAAATACTATATATATTAGTTTAATAAAAATATCAAAATTAAATATCCAGGAAAAAAAATGAGCGGCATCACGACAAAACCAATGTAATGCGTTTGCGACCAGCATGGATCCAGACCAGCCTGCGTATCCGCACAGTCTGATCAGGATCCATGCTGTTCGCTATCAGTTTCTCTACTTGTAATAGGGTTTGTAAGCGAACAGCATGGATCCTGATCAGACTGCGCGGATGCGCAGGCTGGTCTGGATCCATGCTGGTCGCAAACGCATTGCGTTGGTTTTGTTGTGACGCGACTCAAATAAGGGTAAACGAAGATATAATCTACCTTTCAACTGGGTTCCTTAACATGATAATGAGTTTAGTGTCCGGTATAATATGACGTATGTAATGAGGCACTATATATAGAGGTTCTCGCTGACCAAGGTTCTCCGGAAACTTCATCCAATCATTATTGTCCCAGAATAAAGACACGCTCGCCTCACCTTGAAACAGAATTGCGGTAGTTAGAGTATAAGCTTTGTAAGATTAAAGATTTTTTTAAGGGACAAACAAGTACGGACCCCGGACATGCCATCATTCATGTCCTCAAAGGTTGATTATAGCATTTAAGGACATACATGGTAACATGTCCAGGGTCCGTACTTTCAGTGCCTGAAAGGGCGGATGAACACTCATTAAGCCTAGAATACATACATAAGGCACAAACATAATATCTATTGCTATAAACAATAATGACATGTGTCAGTGAAATAAGGAAAAAAGAAAATACTAAAGAAAACAATCTAATTTTGAAAAAAGAGTAGAGGATAATGAACAGAATATTAAATCAAAGCACAGAAGGTGCTGAATTTGTTTGGGTCTCAGAATGTAAGATAGGTGAAGGTTGTGAGATTATAAAACAATTTGTTTTTGTATAGTGCCACCAATGCTTTCCAGCGTTTTAATTGTAGTAGAATTGCTATAAGACTAATTGCAACACTGATATTCGATCCAATGTTTATTTGACTAAAGCAATTAAAAAAAATTAGTTGCCTTAACTGGGATTTGAACTCCAGACCAATCGCTTCCTAAGCGAGCGCGCAACCCCTCGGTCACGGTGAATTTATATGTTAATGGCCTGAAGAAAACCATATTATTCTAGTTAGGGTTTGAAACGACGCTAACTGTTTTCTAGTGTAAATAATCATGGCGATTACTATAAGCATGTATATCTATAAAGAATAAAACAATATTAGAAATCTTCGACCATTCGGGAATTATTTTGCTTGAAAATTAATCCGCCTGTCATGTTACCATATTTACGCAGTGATCTCCCCTAAATTTTTCGGCCTAAGTGTTAGGAGGCAGGGGACATATTCGAATGATGGCCCCGGTCAAATTTTTTAATAACTCAGACATGGTGTTTTGAAGGTAGTGATAACTTCTGATATTTCTCTGTCATTGTAATTCTTTCTTGTTTGTGTGTAGGAAATGAGAAGTATTTTTGGGTTTTTACCCGAAACTAAGCATTTTGGTAGCTTTATATGTATTTCTGACTCTCCGAATGGAGGTGAAAAGGTTAAAAATCAAGCTTTGACAGTTGGCGCCAAACAAGTAAGAAATTTCAGATAAATTTTGTGAAAAATCTAAACGTATCACAGACACTTTATTGGTAATTTCTGAAAATGACATAGCTTGCACTGCGTGTTACTGATATTTTTAAAGGAATCGGGCGGATTCTGGAGTATGCTGCACCTTCATGAAGATTGCCCATATTGGTATATTTTAGGTGTGATTTTGGCTGGGTGGGGGTAAATATAAATTGCTGTCAGTCATTTTTTGAAGGAGCAATGCATGCAAACTATTATTTTCTTCAATGTATGTCATATATCATTGAATAATGCTGTGCAACTGGTTATCTGCGAAACAGATTTTGAAATATTTGGAATTGTGTTTCTGGTCACACTGAAATACAAAATTGTTCATTTTTAGGTCCCCTGCCCCCTTACATATAAAGGGAAGTAACCGCTTCAAAAATGCGGACTACTTTCGGCACTTGCAATTAACAGCATTAGAGTCTGAAATTTCGCTACCATTATTTGTTTGGTCTGACGACCCAAACAAATAAAAACCTAACACAGATTCTAATATAAATTTTCTAGTTCACAGACTCCAAGAAAATACAGTTAACTTCCACATACACTTATATTCAGACTGTCACTTGTTTATTATTAGCATGTAAAAGAATCCTGAAGCACCATACGTCATGATAGAATGGACAGACGGACGAACACACATTCACACTGATTAAAAGGTCGCCCAGAGTCAGAGTAGTAAAACATGTTATACGTTTGCAGCATGAAGCACTTGATCAGTGCTGACTGAATGCATTCTCAATAAAATCATGTTTTCGAACTAAAAATCATTTGTAGTTGATAATAAGGGAAACAACTCCTATGTAAACAAGCATAGGAGTATCATGTAAGAGTAATCTGTTCTTAAGCTTAACCGTGGTATGTAAATAATAAAATTTATCTACAAGTATAACATTTGGAAAATGAGAGAATATAATAATATGAAACGGGTACAAAAAATGTTTTGACGATCCCCATGTTAAGACTTATCGCCGATTTACATATTCATGTTCAGACTATTACATTTGCAATAGAACATACAAACAAACAAAAAAAACAACAACAGATTTTTAGAAATAAAAATGTTAGCACCTCTGATGCATAATGGACCTTAAATAGGATCATATTTAAAATGAGTTGCTGATTTGCAATGAAATCAATTTAATTTGGGGTGGGTAATAGGAATTTGATTTTTTAAAGCACATTTCTTGTGAAGTACTAGTACTATTAATCAGGGAAACAATTCTAAAATGTCATCACCTCAAGTATCACTTAAATTCCACTTTTATTTTTATATGCAATGTTTAACCAATAGAAATAAATTGAGGAACAAATTAACTTCGATTTTTTATTCCTGTTTTACACCAGTTGCCAGCAATTCTAAATTCAATCACTTGATTCACTACTTGAACTAAATTGTGCGCTTGTCTTCCTTACGAAACTTTAAACAACGTCATGTAACTTGACATTTATGCATACTTACAAACTGTTGGTTATCCTAGAACTTAAGCTAAAGAGTATGTACGTTTTTGTACTTTACTGCACAAACCCCTTCCTCCACCCCTCCCCACACAATAAAATTGCACTGTGTGCGGTGCCCCCACCCCCTCTTCACACAATAAAATTGCACTGTGTACGGTGCCCCTACCCCCTCCCCACACAATAAAATTGCACAGTGTGCGGTGCCCCCACCCACTTCCCACACAATAAAATTGCACAGTGTGCGGTGCCCACACTCACTTCCCACACAATAAAATTGCACTGTGTGTGGTGCCCCCACCTCCTCCCCACACAATAAAATTGCACAGTGTGCGGTGCCCCACCCACACAATAAAATTGCACAGTGTGCGGTGCCCCCACCCACTTCCCACACAATAAAATTGCACAGTGTGCGGTGCCCCCACCCACTTCCCACACAATAAAATTGCACAGTGTGTGGTGCCCCCACCCACTTCCCACACAATAAAATTGCACAGTGTGCGGTGCCCCCACCCACTTCCCACACAATAAAATTGCACAGTGTGCGGTGCCCCCACCCACTTCCCACACAATAAAATTGCACTGTGTGCGGTGCCCCACCCACTTCCCACAAAATAAAATTGCACTGTGTGCGGTGCCAACGCTCGTCTATTAAGGACAACGAGTAAAATATAATGTCAGGAGTGTTACGGCTTTTATTACTTCACTTTTTGTAGCATGAATAATTTTGTGATGTTCAAAAGATTGGGTATACAAAACTTAAAAATGGGGCACAACTCTAGAAATACTGATTACGCAATATGTCACTTGTTTTTACGGTTCCTATGTGCTTTGTCCCTATTATCAAGCATACCTAAAATCATGTCAACATTTTTGATAATTTTTAGAATTTTATACAACCAATAACCAATTAAAACAAAATATTTTTAGCAAAAGAGACATAATAACTCAAAAAATATTCTGTTCAGAATAATGCCCCCTGTCCTGCAACTACGCCATGTCATGATAATCAAGTATTCAAAGTTTTATGTTGATACCTTTGATAGTTTTGAAACATTTTGTTTAAAAAGGGGGCACAACTTAAAAATAGTCCTTTCAGGATTATATCCCTTGTTTTACAACTGCGTCTTGCCATATAGTTTAATTGTTTTAAGTTATGTGTTAATAAATTTAGAATTCTTAAAAAAATCGGGTAAAAGATTCTGCACGACGACAACGAGAACAGTGCGCAGCGATCATAATAGCTCGAAATTTTTTTTTTCGAAATAGATCAGCTAAAAATGACTCACACTTCCCTTCGTGAGTCGCTCATAATCTATCGTTTCCGGTGGTGGCTATAAATAAACAAATTGACTAAATAACCAAAATATTATTAAAATAACAATAATGATTGTTATGTTTAAAGCTGATTAAAGAGAAGTACAGAATATTTTTATATCTCTGGTAAAAATGAATTGTATTCTGAGGGGCGTTTTTTAGTTTGATTGTCTATGATAGGTACAGTAAAAAACATTTTATTGCACGGGTTCAGGATTTCAAAGAGGATTTATAATTTCCGCCCGTCTATCAAATCTACCATAGGTTATGACATACTTATAATAGTACTGTAATAAAATTTTCATTCTCAAAATTTAAATCGGATGCCTAAGCAAAAATGCTGATGGTACATGATAGATGTACCATTATTAATAGATAATATAAAGAAACAAGAATTTGCAACAGAGTTACCAACTTCCCCGCCTCGGAATAAAATAAAATAAATAAAATAAAATTGTGCTATTTCAAAAGATTGAAGTATGGATCTCAGGACTTTCAGACCAAAATTATGATCAATGCTAGATCTGCAAATGCAACAATAAATTTATTAAAGAAATCCTAGTAAAATGAAACACGGAATTTTAAAATCTATCATGTTAACCTTTGACCTCTAAGTGTGACCTTGACCTTGGAGGTAGGGTGCAGGTGTTGTGCATGACAGTCTTATTAATATTACTATTTGTGCCAAGTATTTTCAAAATTCCTTGAACTATGAAAAAGTTATAGAGCGGACACGAAATATACCCTATAACAGACTATGTCAATCTTTGACCTCTAAGTGTGACCTTGGAGGTAGGGACCCATGTTTTGCGTCTGAAATATTATCTTATTATTGTGATTATTTGTGCAAAGTATTTTTAAAATCCCTTGATCTATGAAAAAGTTATGGACCAGACACAAAATATACCCTGTAACAGACTATGTTAATCTTTGACCTCAAAGTGTGACCTTGACGTTGGAGGTAGGTGACCGGTTGTTGCGCATGACACATCGTCTCATTATTATGAACAATTGTGGCCAGTATTTACAAAATCCCTTCAAAGATAAGAAAGTTATGGACCGGACACGACATATACCATCAAATAGACAATGTTGACCTTTAATGAGCAAGTGCGACCTTGACCCTGGAGGTAGTGGTCTGGTTGCTGCACATGACACATTGTCTTATTATAACAAACATTTGTGCCAAGTTATTTCAGATTCCTTTGATAAATGACAAAGTTATGAACCCGACACGCAAGTGTGACGGACGGACGTACGTTCCAACATTTTGGCTCTAGGGGCTATTTCCTTTGTTATTTTAAACCCTTTGATCACGGAATGAATCTATTGTTCTGTTTTGTTCTCTTTACTGTTATATAGCCCCTAAACCCAAAATATTTGCTCGGACAGACGGACGGAGCCTATGACTATATCCCCCTTTTTTCTTCGAAAAGGCGGGGGACAATAAAAGAAAAGATGGTGAAATATATGTTTTTGTCATCAACATAACTTTAGTAATATGCAATAAATTGCATTGCATACGCATACCTGTAATTTTCTGAGTTTCGAAGACGGCACTATTTTTTCCAGCGTAAGATTCCTGGGAACTATTTATCAGGCCTGCAGTAAGGTTATGAAGTCTCTGCTCTATATGTAAAGCGGCACGGTCAAACATATCGACATAGTCATTAAATGGAATGATTTTTGAATAGGAAAATCTTCGGCCTGAAAAGAAAGAATTTTTTTAATCTCTGAAATAAAATATTTTATTTAAGACTGATCTATCAAGATTTGTGGGTAAAACACTAAAAAGCTTCCCGGAAGAAAAAAACAAAACAATCTTTAATAGTATTTCATTCCTGATTTATGAGACCTAAGTCCCTCTCGTCGAGGTAGTATAGCAACATTCAAGCTTTTAAGTGAAATAATCACTCCACCCCTACGACACTACGAAGATTATTATTTCAAGCTCTTGTTTATATCATCCGTGTAGACCAGGAAAACAGGGGGATAAGTGGCATGTTATATTCAAGGAAACAATTCAACTTTGAATTTGAAAAAAAAAGCTTGTAAAAATGACACGCAAGTGATGCGGAGAATAAGCAATCGGCTTTCCGAGTTCTTGTTAAATTTTGGTTTCAGATAGTAAAATAATAATAACATCTCACGTGTCAGTTTAATGACATGAAAAAAATGTACATTGAAATAATAATTAATTTTCGATCAGTCTAATTAAACAATCAATTAGGCAGATTGAAGGTATGTGTGCCTATCGAGAAACAAACGTTAACATCTGAAACATGTGCTATCTAAAATAGAACTTTTCTTTCTGCAATTTATTACATTAATGAAATCAAAATCTTATTAAATGGATTCAAATACCAATTTGACTTATCCATACATTCTTCATTTCACTGTGTCTAACCTGTTTTACAGATAGCAAAATGTTAAAATGTTCAACAGAAAATAACATTTATTATACTATAAATTGATATAAATGTGTATTTACTATAATAAGAAAAAAATCTTTTCTTGTTCTATTTTCTAGAATTTTGAGAATGTTGCAAAAGTGAATAATTATTGAAAGGCCTAAACTTTAGTTAACCATATGAACTCACCTTGTCTACTTCTTGACCACCAGTGTAATTCCTTAATAGGTGGCGCTTCTATATCCGGATGTTGCGCAATCTTCCAAAACAAGTCCGTCGTGCCGCATTTTGGCTGACCGATAATCAAGAAATACGGAAGGCACCGAAGTCTGCTGTTCCGTTCATTTCCGGTGTCGAATTGCTCCTCCCAATGCTCCGTCATCTTGGCCAGAACACGTTTAGCAGACGGCGAGAATGGGGCATATGTGTTGTTCTCGTACGGTCGAGAGTTGGCGAGAGGTTCGTACCAGCATGGATTTTTGAATTTCGTATCATACTGCTTTTTGGGCTGCGATGAAAATCAACATTTCTTTTTCTAGGTAAGTCTAGTATAAAATAACGTATTAATATTCAATAAATTACTGTTATAGTCCAATATTGTTTTTGAAAATATAATCTGGTTAACCGGAAAGAGTATTCCTGATCAGATGGTAGACATGTACAGGTAACTAGACTTTTATGACATTGACATTTCTATATGCATTTAGAAAACCGGACTACTTTTCTCACAATGAAAGGTCAATTCACTTAAATGATCCTGAATTATACAAATTAAATATTTCTTTCGATTCAAAATCATTACTTAAAATTAAGTTGTTATCACAATAATCATATTTCTCTGAAACTCTCGATCAAACACAAATGACCATTTTCAAAGCAAACATAACGCTAAAGCTACCATTTATACTTGTAATTATCGCTGTTAACTTTACATGTTATTTTCGTTCAAAAAAATATATATCAAATGATGAAAAAAAAAATCTGAAAACTTTGACATAATGATAATGAAACATATACACAAATAATTCAAGTTCAAATATAACATAAAGAATTTTAATAATTAATACCATGTGAAGAATATCCAGTCTTGTATCATTCCAGTTAATTCCTTGCACGTGCGCTGCATTCGCTGCCAGCGTTGTATTACTATTGTCGTCTGCATCGTAGCTGTCACTGTCGATTTCTGCCACGTCAATATTTGTCTCAGTATAATTCAATTTCACAATATTCAAATTCAACTTTGAAAACACTTTTTCAATTTGTTTTGTTGTCACTTCTGATTTTGCAAGGGTTTCATCGTCTTCTGATGAAGCTACTTTTCGTTTACTTATGTTAGAGATGATGATACGGTCTACCTCTAGTACATGAAGATGATGTAACTGGCTCTGAGTTAATGAAACTGGCAGTGAAGAGTAATATGAAAACGACACCGAAACAATAAACACCACGACAAGACACAATGTTATAAATACAACCCTGAAATCGAGCTTCCTAAGTTCGAGTTTTTCTTGGAATGGAAAGCGCCATTTTAGAGATGGTCCATATGTCATCTTTCGGTCACAGGCCCCGCCAACAGCATACTACTTCCGGTCACACCAACACCTACCCTCTTACCTCAAATCGAGCTTTATCTGAAAATACAATTGACAAAAATAGTTATTTCCGAAATAAAGTTACTTCTCTTCTAGAATCAGTGTTGAATGACCCCACATGTTCACCTTTATATAATTTTATTTCTTAAAAAATGTTAAAATCTAAATACCTGCGAATTTCGAAATGGAAATACCTACCCAAATCACATTCAAATATCAAAAACAGCTGTCTATAAATTTTTAACAAACAACGGAATATACCGACAGTCAGCCAATGAAAACAAATTATCATCTGACAACATTTTACCATACATGTTTCACATGTACTTACCAACCTCTAACTAAAATAGACGCTACTTTTCACATCAATCTCTCTATAAATATCAGGTCAGTACACACTGGGAAGTTGGGAACAATAACGGACTGTTTGTTTCGAGTGCGATTGTATTAAAAGTGCAATGTAATATAGAGGGCACTCAGAAGTCAACATATTTTATTTCATGTATAAAAACCAGTAATTAAACTAACTGACCACGTTAAATCTACCATCTTAATATTTCAATCATATACTTAACTTAAAAAGCATAAATTTGTATACAACTTATAAGTGACAGTGTTTAACTGTTGCCAATTTTAAAAGCCACTGGCATCAAGGCACTGAAATATTTATTATTTTCAAGGATTGCACCTTATTCAAGGACAGCACATTTCACCTAAAGTCTAAACAAATTTATAACAAAGCGAAAAATAGCTTTAATAAAACCCGTAAATTTATCCCCAAAAAACATGCGCTCCTCACCTAAACATCCAACATAAATCTATTCCCAAAATTAATCCAGTAATTCTCTTAACCACAAATTATCGTACGATGATGCAATTCTTGCAACGCGTCAGATATTGTAGACGAATTCCACTACTTTTAATATACTTATTGCATAACACAAATCGCGCTGACGACCACATTCACAATGCACACAATTCAATATTCAGAAAATGTCTGCATTTGGTGACCTATCTTCTTTTAAATTGAGGTTAAAACGAACTATCATCTGTATTGCGGTATTATCCCAGACAAAAAAAATACCAACAACTTCCGCTAAAACAACATCATTGCATGCAGCTGCCGATTCAATCTATAACCTAGGTTTTTATTGCGATATAACCAGCTATGGAAGAGGATGAAATGAAGAACCTTACACTCCTCCAATTATATATAATTCTATGAAGTCATGACTACTTTATTCAATAAAAGTTCAAAGAAATGTGTTAAGTTCTTAACATTACCTTAAGTTACATACGAAAACCGGGTTTCTCAACGAAACAAAGGCTATATAAAACTACATTTTTTTCCAATTTCATGCGCAAGCATAGTTTTTTGTTTTTGTTTTTTGTTGTTTTTGTTTTGTTTTTTTTTGTCTCCAGACAAATTATACCATAAACGAATTATAAACATTGGTAAAGGGGAATAACTCTGTTCATAAAACAAGTGAAAGTCGAACAAACGTACATTCTGGTACATCTTTTTCGGCAAATCTTTAACAAATACATTAATACAAGGACCGTAACTCGGTCTCTACATATTAACTTTATGTCTTTGCGTAACTTAATTTACACAGAAATAAGCATAAAAAGCTGTAAAACATACGGACAGATGAACAATGACAATCTATGTCAAACTTTTTTGTCGAATATTCGACACTAAGAAGAATTATATTTATAAATAAACAAGCGTACCTTTTCGCTCTTTCTGCCAGTATATCAACTACATGTATCTACAAAAAATTATCTACATGTAGAAGACAGGATGTAGATTTTTTTTATATACTTAATAGTTTACTAGTTTACTTTGTAAATCTTCCCTAGAGAATAAAATCGTTTTAAGTACGCGATGACCTTAGATAGATAAACAGTATCATGCTTTTCTCATCATTAAATTTTGCATCTACATCAAAAAGTTCATGGCCATCGATGAGTATGCGATAAAGTGCGTATGAGGAACAGTAAAACACATATGTAGATAATCAGTAAAAAAACACGTTGTTAGTTTTGAATTATTTTTGTTTATGAAAATTACAGCGACGTTCCAGTTTCATTAGTGGATGCTCCGCAGTTCATTGAGACACGAGAAGAAACCAAACAAGATCGAACCTCTGACCTTCAATAAGGGAGCTGGGTAGCTTTTTCAAGTAAATTATTGTCACTAATGTACCAGTAAATTGTGCCGCCCCTCCCCCACACCAAGGAATAGCGGGGATTTCTGGATTATCAAATTCCCAATGATTAAAATCCAAAAACAACCAAGGAACATAAACCTCGTATAACAGTGGCAATTTAATTACTCAGATATATTTTGATTCATAACACTTTGCAAAAGATTAGAAAACAATTTAAATATAGAAAATCTATTAAGCAAATCTTGGATTTAATTTAAAAATCACAGAAGATAAAGTTCTGCAAACAAAAGCAATAATGTAATTGTTTGCAGATAAATGTTTAGATGTTACTCGGAGATAAAAAAAAATCGCACGTGAAAGAACATACTTAACGACTACAAAGAAAACATGCTTAACCCTTAACAATAAATCATTAGGTGCTATATGCATATGCTACATTAATCTCCAACCCCCGGGGAGAAGAGGCACTTCAATTTTGGATTAACAAAGCCATCAAATACCGGTTCTGCGTCTTAATGTCCACAACCTGGACATATCTGTCTTCAACAGCCCCCCCCCCCCAAACACACACACACACACGCACACACACACGCCACCCTTCCACTAATAAGAAAACCGCCCCAATGATAAGATTTGAAATAGCTTATCGTGCAGTTACCTGTGGCGACAGGGGTCGGGGGTTACAACTCGTACATGCATCTTAACAAACGTCCTTCACATTAAATATTGTGTTACAGGCGATATTGGTTTCCAGCCATATCACAAACAATAATAAATGAGCCGCGTCACGAAAAAACCAACATAGTGCGTTTGCGACCAACATGGATCCAGACCAGCCTGCGCATCCGCGCAGTCTGATCAGGATCCATGCTGTTCGCTATCAGTTTCTCTACTTGTTATAGGGTTTGTAAGCGAACAGCATGGATCCTGATCAGACTGCACGGATGCACATGCTGGTCTGGATCCATGCTAGTCGCAAACCCATTATGTTGGTTTTGTCGTGACGCGGCTCAAATTAGCATACATATTCTCAAGATTCTTAGATTGTTATTAATGACCAAAGTGAGCACAACTTCATCAAAGTCATTTCATTTAAAATAGGATAATCCTTACAACAAACAACAAAAACTCTTTAGCTTCTTTTATACCGATTTATAACATAAAAATCACGCCAACAAGTTGCGTTTATCGTCTGCTGATATTTATCTAAGAATCATATAAAAACTTTAATTGCTCAAACTGGCAGCACGCCTTTTGACTCCTGTAGTTTAATTGAGTTTTGATTGCCGGCAATTTGAGCTGTGGTTTACGAGCGTTTCTGCAAAACAGCAGTTTTTGTTATAATAAAATCGTCTGAATTTACGACAAAATATAATTTCCACAAAAAATGACTTAGGTACTTAAGAATGTATAAAGCTATATATATATATATATATTGCCTGTAGTTTACTAAATTATTGTTTGAATTTTGAAAAAGATTAATTCCAAAATACCTGTATGAAAGAAATATGTTTGTATAATTATATATTTAAGACCGAAAATCGCATGCATGACGTCACTGCTACTTACAGTGAAGTGCTCTATAATGCAAGGTCTGTAAAAACAATAAATAATTTTAGTACCATACATGTTAACAAACAATGAAATAATTATATATATGGTAGATGTTGTTGGCAAGTGTGAGACGTAAAACCCATTAAAACAAACATTTTATAAATGTTCATTTTTTGTCACTAAGAACTTAATCAACACGTTTTATAACAATATCCATATGGTACATTTCTACTGATTTTCTTTTCAATATTTGAAAAACTTATTGAAAAATATGAGCCCCATTGTAGATAAATATCCACATCAAACTAGAAACTGTTTTGTTCCAGAACATTTAATCTGTGGAATGATTTCGTGCACCGTGGGGTTTGCTAGTGGATTTATTCAATATTTGTATAGTTATTGCCCTTGACTTAGTAAAAACTTGTGTCGCATGTGGCTAAAAAAATATTAGACCTTGAATTATGAAACCTTACAGGAATGTTGATCAGCATGGGGACACCCGTGTCCATAGTGTCCTATGAACACATTTCTAGTTCTTGGTTCTTATTCTAAGCACAAAATAATCATAGATAAACAGATGAACAGTCCACAATTCCTTTCAAGAGCATTTCCTCCTAAACAACTGTTTGACCAACCTTTACAGGAATTGGTCCTTGTATGTGATCCTCTACAAGTTAGAAACCTGGTTGCCGTCTGAGCTAAAATAAGACTTCAAAATTAAAGTTTATAAAAACACAATCCTACCCGGAAACTTTAATGCTCAGAGTATGAGGCATCATGGTAGTCCTTTACAAAAGTTGTGAACAATGGCCCAGGTATTAAAATGAAATCATACTCCTGATGGTCAAAATGAGCCCTCCCCAATTAGATTGAATAGATTAGAATTATTAGCACACTGGCATTTTCTAGCAATGGATCTCAGGCGAGCTATCTAAGGTCATCATGTTATGTCTGCGCCCTTGTTTAATTTATTCCTTTCGTAAACATTTCCAATCCGGCTTCGATTGTGACGCAATTTTTAGTAATGTCTGTATAAAAGCGGTTTTTTATTTACAAAACAAGAGGCACTTGTATTTTAGCCACATCCTTGTTCTTAGACAACACTTCACCTACTTGCTTATTGCTAGTGTTTCTTTATAGTTTAGGTGATTCGTTTGAACAGAAATGTACCAGGAAGTTTCCGTGCATAAGCATCTGCAGAACGAGCCAGCAATGCTTTCGCCGATATCAACATATTAGGACATTCCTAAGCATTCGAGATTTAGTTTATACAATTTGTTTTTAGTTAGATTGTGTTGGAAGCTATAAGCTTAAAAATCCGTTATTGGGAAAAAACAGTACTAAGCAATGAATGTAAAGTTTCTTTTTCAAGTAAACAACGGCTTGCTCTTGACAAGCTTTGAACCCGCGCGGTCAGGAATCCTTTCATTAAAAGTCCGACACGTTAACCACTCGGCCACGCCGCTATTTCAAATTTAACCAAATTACGAAACAAGATATAAAAGAGTGGAGTGGGCATATAAAAATACAGGTATATAAAGCTGGACATGCAGTACAAGAGACTGAACGCTGACAACTATATATACATTGGGACGATCTTATAGAATTTCACTAATAAATATCACGCATTAAACAGCGCGTGCAAATTTAGACATGTTTACAATTAAATGAGTATAACAGAGAAGACAGGAAGTGCAAAACTTGCACCGATTCTCCGATGACAGACTGATCGTTGATATATAAACAAGCTGTAATTAATTGTAGAACCGATGCCAAGAACAATATTTGAACCACATGATGCTCTATTAATACACGTTAATTTTGTGTGTGTGCACGAAGTTTACCGTGCTATACAGGAGAACACTATATAGTTGATGGTTAGTTATTACGTTGATAAGATATCGAATTAATCCATTAATGCAAAAAGGTCTGGTTTAAGTACCAGACATCTAAAGCTTTATTTTCTAGTAACGATCGTATTTCTCGACTAGAACAGAACAGAAAAGAACAAATGAAGATTTTACGCAAAGTGCTGTCGCAGTTTTATTTCTCTTGATTTTTGCTAGTATATGTATCGTACACGATGTTATAGATCGAAAGTCGGCAATTTGTTTATTTACAAAACCTGAGAAAAAAAATAAGTTCCCGCCACAAGTTACAACTTTACCATATGCCTATCATCGAAGAGTCCGACGTAAGTTTTTATATTTTTTTACCAAACATGTTTTTCTTTCTTTCTTTCTTTTCAATATTTAAATATGGACACAAAAAGAATATCTAGGTTAGTCTCCCCCTTTCACCTCTTTGCAAGTTTGTAATATTATATAGGGACTTCGTTAAAATGCTCAAGTTTCTTGTTGATGAACCTTTACAATCACAGAATGATCATTAATTATAGTAACATTTCGAAAGGGATGAAATATGAGTTCTGGCATATGAACGCTGAAAAAATATTTGTGAATAGAAAATATATATTAAAGGTGACCTTGAACGGAAGAAATAGGCCAATATGACCGTAGGGCCTGCAATATATAGATTTCATTAAATCAAGCTTCAAAATTAACCAAAACATTAAAGAATTAACATGTGAACATGACGAAAAGTAAAACAAAACCTTTTTTTTTATTTTGCGTTATAATAATTTCCCTACCTATCAAAATGCAATATGATGGAAGCCTGTTAACGTTATTAATTTTGTTGTTGCTTTTTTGTTATAAAATAGCCCTCTTAAATCTTAACATTTCAATATATTAACATTTCAATGTAATGAATTGAAATCGGTGGTCCTTTGGGATCACGGGTTTTTTGGGTTTTTTTTTTTCATTGAGTACTAGGGCCCTAAGGGCAGAATCCGATGTAGTATTATCTTTCATGAACAGACTCAATCTGTGGCCTTAATTTTTTATATATTATTGGTACAGTTTTCATTGTCTCATAGGGATCACCCTATGCCGGATTTTTATGAGAACGTTACACATTGTGGTAACGAAAAATGATCAATTCATATTTGCAAACAACGATTGATATGAAAAGCCAAATTAATATTCTTTTCATATAACTATGACAGTTTATGCCAAATTAAGATTCTTTTTATATAATTATGAAAGTTTACGCCAAATTAAGATTAAGTTCATATAACTATTACAGTTTATGCCAAATTAAGATTATGTTCATATAACTATGACAGTTTATGCCAAATTAAGAATATGTTCATATAACTATGACAGTTTATGCCAAATTAAGATATATGTTCATATAACTATGACAGTTTATGCCAAATTAAGATTTTTTTCATATAACTATGACAGTTTATGCCAAATTAAGAATATGTTCATATAACTATGACAGTTTATGCCAAATTAAGAATATGTTCATATAACTATGACAGTTTATGCCAAATTAAGAATATGTTCATATAACTATGACAGTTTAGGCCAAATTAAGATTATGTTCATATAACTATGACAGTTTAGGCGTAATTACTGTTATCCACAATTTCACATAACTACGATGTTGCAAAATAAATAAATAAAATAAATAAATAAATAGAGGATATTTGTTTAGTTCAGTGTAAGATCGGAATATATTTCACCGAGTGAGCACCAAAAGGTATATTTCACGAGTGGCGCAGCCACAAGTGAAATATGAACTTTTGGTGTTCACAAGTTGAAATATATTTTGATCTTACACTAAACTAAACAAATTTTCTTTTTATTATATGCAAAGAAACGTTTTAAAAAGACATAAAACCTAATATTGAATTAAAAGCGCGCCAAATAATAATACAACTTTACGTCATTTACGGCGTCACGTCATTAAGTTGGTACCCAGTACTGTGCACGCTGGCATTTCACTGAAACAATGTAATGGGCTTAAACTCAAAACAGTGAAATTATCAAAGTGGTAATTTCACTGTTTCAAACAGTGAAATTACCAGTTTTAAATCACTGATATATTTCTATAAACCATCGAAAAGCATGTAATAAATAAATAAAAATAAATAAAAAAATAAATAAATAAATAATAAATAAATAAATAAGTAAGCACACAATATAAGAGGTTTACAAATATTCAAATTTTAATTTATGTATTTACAGTAACAATTAAGATTGTGTTGTTTTTTTTCGCAATGAATCATTAACGAATGTTAAATGTATTTTTCACAAAATTATTATCGTAACCTTTAAAAAGTGAGTTAGTCTCTAATGGAATATCTCTAATACCATAAATAGTTATGTAAATGCCGACACTCAATTGACTTCCACCTCTTTTTTATATATCAGAAAAAAAAACTGTCATTTCTTTTTGTCAAGGAATGATTACACATGTTTAATTATTGCTCAAGTAAAAAATGTTGGATATTTATCGTGTCAATTATTGACATATTATTAATCGTAAGTGCATTTTGACATGGAGTTTAATTAGACGTATGTAAATCTGTGATTTTGATTGTGATATTTTATTTACATTTTTATGATCTTGAAGATATTTTGCAATACTTGTGTCTGCTATCAAAACAGTAATGCATATGAAATGACCACAGCTTCCAAATAATTATTTTTTCGGTAAATTTTATGACAGAATCCCCGCTGCTACCAGAAATGTTTTATTGCATGGGCTAAGTATTTAATCTGTGTCGGCAGTCATAAACAAACGAACATGTACTCCAAAGCACATTAAAATTACCACATGGTAAACTAGTGACCATATAAAAGCTTTACAAATATTCATTAACTGAACAAACATTATTTTTAATCCCGTTTCCACACCTTAATTTGATACGTTCTATTATTAGTTAGCGCGCATGCAGTACTGCGTGACGTAAGGAAAATATCCTTCCCTGGTTGGTTGCTATTTATGTAAATACTTTAAATAGTAACGCACAGAATGCCCTCATGAATGATCACTCGTTACTTTACATATAAAATGTGTGTTTTTCCTCCGATTTTATTTTTGTTTTCGAGGGAATTTTTTAGGTGGAATGCCCTGGCTGATTTGGCGGAAATAAAAAAAAATCTGATTTTTTTAAGCTGAAAAAAACTTTTGAGTCGGGGCATTTTCGCTGGGTCGGCCGGCAATAGCAAACAGATAATTTTTTAAGAGTGGCCTTGATAGTATTAATTTTAGTATAACAAGTGAAAACGAATTATATATGGATGTTGTGTGTAAGATCAGTTATTACATATCAATATAAAGCAGATAAGTGATTTTTCTCGCTAAATTGGGAAGAGGCCTTAGTCTCTTGATTTTGGGAAAAATTATTGCTAAAATTGCTAATTTGGGAAGAAAAAAGCCGGTTTAAGTTCAGATTTTTGGGAAAACTGCATGATTTTAAAGAAAATTTCAATTGGGAAGAGGCCCTTTTTGGGAGTCTGTTATATAAGTAGGAAAATCACTGATAATAGTGTTCTAAGATGCAACAAAATATGATTGTTCATCATATATAATGTATGTTCATAATAAATCACTTTAGAAATCTTTCACCATTTTGTTTGCCAGAAATATTCCATAAAATATCCAAATGATAAAATTATATTGCTTTTATCAATATTTGAAATACTTGTGGAAAACCTGCCCATGGAGACCAATTCACTTTAAACAGTTAAATTTAAGATAGTGTTTATTAGAACGATTGTTCAGCTATCAATGAAACAAAAACAGGTCAGGACAGTCGGATCTGGTTTGTTATTACTTGCCTAAGTCTAATTTACAATTCAAGTTACCATGGTCACATAGTGTTATCATACAATTAAAATCAGTTATCTTAAAGTCCATATAAAATCAACAATGTAATCGGACACAATTTGTTGTCGCATTTCTAAACAGAAGTGTAATTTAACACTGCTGATCTAGATCTTTATCAATATGGATATTTGAAAATAATGTAGGTCGGAACAGATCTTTTAATTAGAAGTCCATCCGTCACAAGATGATTCATCGATAGATTCATAGAGACTAGAGTGATAGACCAAACGTACTCACTGATTTAATTAAATGAATTTTTAGTAACTCTTTACATTTTTAGAAAAGTTCCTAAGGCTAAGCCTTATTGACAGATTTATTTTGTGTGTCGAATTCAAATTGTTAACACTCAATTATACTTGAATAATGTAAAAGCTATCATAAGCAAACATACCTGTATTTACGACATATCCAGTATTTTCATGTACACAACAGCATGGTTACATTCTTTTAAATGCTATCAATGTGTAATCCGGAGAGTTCAATGGGTCGCGAACTTCTACCCCGCAGCATGTTTACAAAACCTGTACACACTAAATCCACACATGTGTACAAGATGCACTCAATGACAGGGATTAAAGCTTTAGGGGACGCGGTTAACCGATCGGATTAAATTAGAAATAATGATAAACGCGTAGTCGTATGGGAAATGTAAATATTGTACAATTCGCGTCACGAATCGTACGATTTTGTTTTCTTTCTCGTATTGGATATTCTCGCATGGCGTGCGAAAGACTTTATCCACTCGCAGACATATTCTAAATCGATAAAAGAATGAGAACAACATCATTATCTTGTGAATATCACACTTTTTCAGTTCACTGAAGATTATTTGTGCCTGGATATAGGTTTAAAAATATTTACAAATGTAAAATAAAGAAAAAACGTTGTCGATAGTATGATTGATTATTAATTTATTGATAATTTAGACAAATATTTTTACTGATATTTTAGACAAGAGACACTTGAATGCTTGCACTGTGGTTTTGGTCATATAAAGTGGGTTGGGGGTGGGGGCAGGGTGGGGAAGGGAGTGAGGTTTTGCTTGGAAAAAATAATTGGGTGGAATGGGGAGTAGGAGGGGCAGTGCACCCCTTCATTAATCTGTGTCTGCGCAAACTTTCTTTTTCATAAACAGTATCTAAGTTAAGGACAGCGTGGTTGAGGGCCAGATTTTTTTTGTGGAACGTCTAGAGAATTATTGTTGAGATGTAGAACTATAAATTACATTTCATTCTAACTTAGAAGTTCTACAGTATTACATTGTTTTTATCATTTTATAACGCTGTTTCATATATAGATCCAAAGACACCACCATTGCCTCTTTCATGATTTAAATAACGTTTTCTGGTGGATGAAGTTATTTATGATTGGAATCTAGAAAAAAATTTATATATTTTTTTGTTTATTGAAATCGTTTTTTTCTTGTTTTTTTTTTTCCTGTTTTTGTTTTTGTTTTTTTTTAGTTTGCACATAATTATTTTCATTAAAGGGGAACAACTCTTAGGTTTGAAATATATTTGTATCGGTGGAGTAATATATCCTAGACTAGTGCACGATACTACATGTATTTGTTTTCAACTGCACACAGTGTAAACTATGGAAGCCTTGGAGGGTCACTTTTGAGTTTCGACTTATAGATTTATTTTATTATTTTCTTATGACTTTTGATTTGTGACTTTTGATTTATGACTTTTGATTTTTGACTTGTGGATTTTGTTATTGTCCCACGTGCTTGCCTCATAATTCCCAAGGATAATATGGCAGAATATGATAACGATTCAGACGAGGTAAGTCCATTTACCTAAGTTTCCTGGTGACTTATTTAAAAAACAAAATATGTGGGCTCCTATATGCAAGAACAGAATGTTATTCTTATATAAGCCTTTTTAATTGATTAGGAAAAGAAAATACTTTGCTTGCATTGCATTGCATTGGGTATCCATTTTTGATTTTGATTTCCAGAACAGGCATATATAATCTCAAATTGACATACAGCGTATGAATCAAACGCTTTATTTTTTAAATGGGTTCCAGTTTTAAATCCAAATAAGTCTCGCATTGTTGTTAGCTGCAGTTTCAATCGGTATTCACTCGTAGTTCATTCTTCTTATATTAAATATAGATCAAATTATAGGCCCGCCTTATTTTGACAAAGAAATTTATAGTTAAGGAGTTTCATGCAAAATGGTATTTCAAAAACAATAAATCATACAGCTTTGAATCTTCACACACTTGTTTAGGACACGCTCTAAGTCAGAAATCTCTGAATTTAATTGTTATCAAAATAGTATTTCTTTTTTACTTTGAATTTATGGTTTAGAATTTTCATGAAAAAAAGTTTCTCAAAAACTATTTTAACGATTCCTTTGAAACTTTAAACACATATTAAGTGTTAACATCTAAGGTCAATGACCAAGTTTCGTATGAGTGGCTCACAATTTGACATACTTATGCCCATTTTTAAAGCTAAAATGTTTTGTCAGAAGGTTTATGAAATATGGTCCTATAAACCAGTTATGATATAATATTGAAACTTTATACACTTGTTCAGTATCAATAATTTAGGACACCTACCAAGTATAAAGTACTTGTTATTTCTATATAAACTTTTGTATACAGTTATGTATTAAGGGATTTTTTTTGGTATTTCATTTTGTATATATATATGTATATCATTTCAATTGAGATAAAACATACTTTTAATGTTTTAAATTTTATTCTTGTAAAGCTACCTGTAGGAATTAAGGACGTGCTGTCGAATGGGTTTCATCTATACAGAGCAGTTGCAAGAGCATCAGCAATACAATTTGTCAAGTTTTCGGAGTCAGTTTAGAAGACAAAGAGGTTTCATTGCAAAACAGCATTCCTTCCGAGTGGAAAGTAGTACAGTTTAGCAAATGCACAATGTCCAAACACTGGTGACTTGGTTTTATTCGTTATTGTCTATGGAATTATTCAGTCATTTTCGGAATACGAGTGTTACTTTTTCTCACTTGTTTCAGACGCTCGATAATTTTCAAGTTTTAACCCCATCACTTATTGTGGACGCTTTATTGGAAACGTCTTATCCTGTCCATATCACCAATATGGTATAAAACTTGTATCGATAGACAGGTTATGGTGAGACAGAGAAAAGTGTAAAAAATCATGAATTCATAATTCTGGCTTTCATAAATTTCAGTATAAGGCCATTGTAAATTTTAAAACTTATATGAAATGTATCGAAATCAAACTTTGCATGTTCATATAGCTTGGCGAGGCAGAATAAAACATACTTCTTGCTATCATAGCTAACATACATTTTAGAAACTCCCCTTTGTTGTGTGTGTGTTTTTTGTTTTTTTTTTGTTTTTTCATACTTAGATTTTGTTAAACTCATAATTATCTCAAAAACTGTTGAAGACATCAACTTGAATTTACTGGCAGATATGTCTCGGCGAGATAGAGTGCATTGTTTTGAAAAAAAAAAATTGGTTATAACATTTAATCGTTCTCCTAAGTTACACATTCCCTTTTTTCGACATGCTGTGGGGTTGGGGTAAGCTGTTACAAAAGACTATGAGATTTCCATTACATATAAAGTCGGTCATTCTTCGAAAAAAAAAAAAAAAACAACATGTGGACGTTATTTACAATATACGTTATACAATGTATACATTTTCTTAAAGTTAACTTGGAATTTTTTAGCTAGAGACTGTGTTTGTTTTTTTCTTTTTCTCTCTTTTGAACATTTAGAAATGAAGAAATAACGCTCTGAAAATGATTTTAAAAATCATGACTTCAATAATTACAATACAGACACTCTAGCGTTGCTAGTTTACCTAATTTATCTTATGTTTTCAAAAGCTTCGTTAGAACACTCATGATTTCTTAGTTTTTCATCAGTAACGTATCAACAATGTGTTGTTTCGTAGAAATATTGCATGTATATATGTCTTCTGTGACGTAAATACTTGAAGTTTTTGTTGATGCCACTGTTTATTTTTAGCTGTTTCTTAGTGTTTTTAAGTAAGGCATATGTGCTATTTCAGAAACAAAATGCTTACCTCTGTATTTCTTTTCTCTTTTTCAAATTAAATATAATGAAGCTCAAATGCAGTTTGTTTTTGCATATCTAATACATTTGTTTTCTTATAATACAACAATTTTGTTAAACAAAATAAAGCACGTTTGAAGAATAAACAATGTTTGTTGTTATCTGTTTAAACGTATTTATTCCAAAACAGTATTGATAGCTCTGCCAACCTGTCACGGTCTAGACCGTGAGGTAAAAACGTTTGGTAGTGTGGTCTCTCGGTAGAGGTATATTTTGGTTGTCTGTTGAGGGAGTTGGCTGGTTAAACACAGTTTACTTCTATAGTGATTGCTATTCTATTTCTACTTTGCTCATTTCAACCTCTTACTTATAATTTTAATGGGAACACTATCTCTACATGGATTTAAAACAATCTCTGTAACATTTAATACTGTTTTATTGCGGTGGTAAATTACAAGTTTATTTTGGTTATAACAAAGTTACAATAACACAATAATAAATTGTCAACAAATGAGGATTTTATAATGCAAAAATGAGGCTGCTGGCTAAATGTACTTGTAAACATTATATGATTTCAACACCACTCTCGGCTGATGTGCTCCTTTGCGTTTGGTGATTGCATCACAAATATGCTTATTTTCATTAATCTAAAATCAAGTAAAAACTAATGTTTATACCAAGAACAAAGAGTAGCAGAAAATAGCAAAAGTTATAAGTCAAAAGATAAAAGTCATAAGTAAAAAGTGATAAATTATAAGTGAAAAGTCACAAGGCAAAACCTAAAAAAACGAGAAAATAAGTCAGCATTTATAACAAAGATCAATTATTATTTTAGAAATAACAATCATAATTATACATGTATATTTCTTTTAAATACCATAATACATCATAAAAAGTATGGTTGTTAATTGTTGCGAATGAATAAAAACGTTTGAATCTAATTACACATACTTGAAATTACACGTATAACTTATATGTCACGGTACGAATATATTCAGTAGAAGATGTGCAATCTCGGTCGGGACAGAACTAGCCCTGTAAGGGGCCCGGGTTCGAATTCCGGTATGGCTGCATATCTTTCTCCCCTGTGACATTTGGCATAGTGGAAAGTGTCCCTGCCAGTCACGCAGGATACCGAGGTTCTATTCCTAGTCGGGCAGCCGTTTTGTAACCAGTGCTTGATAGAAGAGATACAACCAGAAGTCGATTCATATAGTGCAGTTAATCTTGTACCACGTTTGCCAAAAACAAAAAGAAAGAAATACTGCATGTATTTGACGTAAAAAGTCACAAAATTGCACATACCTATATTGTGATGTAAAAACTTTACAAATTAATATTTACAGGCTTCTGAGTTGGAAAAACCATTAACTTGTACAACAAATGTGTTTAGATTTGATTTTTTAAATAACTTTAGGAAGATTCTCACTACACGTATGCTTTTCGTGAAAAAATACATGCAAAGACTATTTAAGAAATGACATGTTATGGTATGACCATTGTAATGCAATACCTCCATTTCAAGAGTATTAACATTAGTTGCATGAAATCAGATGGTTGTGGGTTCGAATCCCATAGGAGCCAACTTTTTTTTCTTCATTTTTTTCTTCAGTATTATTGTGTTTTTCTAGCTATATTTAGATGGAAAAATATGCTCG